AATGAAGCCCTGGCAAGGTGGGATTAACTGCTTGTTCCTTCGTGTGTGATATGGGAGTAATGTCAGTATTTGACCACATATGATACTTGCTTTGTGCAGGCCACATGATGACTGAGACTTGATTGACGGTTTGTATAAATGGTTAAGTATGTAGGCCCACCAGAGCCTTGCTGTGGAATATTAACACTATGTATTTATGTGTTCATTTGTTCATTTATTAATTCACTCTAAGGCCTAATGTTATTAACCCATGAGCCCAGTGCCACTTAACCTCTTTTTCAAGCATTGCATTTCAGTTTTCCGGTATTTTATTTTCCCTCTTGACATGCACTTGACAATTGTGTGGATTTATGTAGCAAAAAACCACAACTCATTTTAATATAGTCATTTTTCCAGCCTTGCTTTATATATTGGAATTTACTTTTTTCCCCTGTCCTTAAGTATGTTATTTGTAAATGACCTCTATTCTGATTGGCCTTGAAAAGCAGTCCAGACAGACACATTCCTTAAAACTTAAACAGAGAAGGCTGATATACAGTATATTGCCAAAAGTATTCACTCACCAATCCAAATCATTGAATTCAGGCGTTCCAATCACTTCCATGGCCACAGGTGTATAAAACCAAGCACCTAGGCATGCAGACTGCTTCTACAAACATTTGTGAAAGAATGAGTCGCTCTCAGGAGCTCAGTGAATTCCAGCATGGTACCATGATTGGATGCCACCTGTCCAGTCGTGAAATTTCCTCGCTACTAAATATTCCACAGTCAACTGACAGTGGTATTATAACAAAGTGGAAGCGATTGGGAATGACAGCAACTCAGCCACGAAGTGGTAGGCCACGTAAAATGACAGAGTGGGGTCAGCGGATGCTGAGGCGCATAGTGCGCAGAGGTCGCCAACCTTCTGCAGAGTCAATCGCTATGGACCTTCAGAGAGCTTCATGGAATGGGTTTCCATGGCCGAGCAGCTGCATCCAAGCCTTACATCACCAAGCGCAATGCAAAGTGGCGAATGCAGTGGTGTAAAGCGCCGCCACTGGACTCTAGAGCAGTGGAGATGTGTTCTCTGGAGTGACGAATCAGCTTCTCCGTCTGGCAACCCGATGGACGAGTCTGGGTTTGGCGGTTGTCAGGAGAACGGTACTTGTCTGACTGCATTGTGCCAAGTGTAAGGTTTGGTGGAGGGGGGATTATGGTGTGGGGTTGTTTTTCAGGAGTTGGGCTCGGCCCCTTAGTTCCAGTGAAAGGAACTCTTAATGCTTTAGTATACCAAGAGATTTTGGACAATTTCATACTCCCAACTTTGTGGGAACAGTTTGGGGACGGCCCTTTCCTGTTCCAACATGACTGTGCACCAGTGCACAAAACAAGGTCCATAAAGGCATGGGTGAGCGAGTTTGGTGTGAAAGAACTTGACTGGCCTGCACAGAATCCTGACCTCAACCCAATAGAACATCTTTGGGATGAATTAGAGTGGAGACTGCGAGCCAGGCCTTCTCGTCCAACATCAGTGTCTGACCTCACAAATCCTCAAAAATTCCCATAAACACACTCCTAAACCTTGTAGAAAGCCTTCCCAGAAGAGTTGAAGCTGTTATAGCTGCAAAGGGTGGGCCGACATCATATTAAACCCTATGGATTAAGAACGGGATGTCACTCAAGTTCATATGCGTGTGAAGGCAGACGCGCAAATAGTTTTGGCAATATAGTGTATGTGAATGCATTTTGTATTTTGCGAAAAATTATGAATTTAAAATGAGCTATTTTTGCAACTTAATTTTCCATGCATGGACTGTGTGGCCTGAGAAGTGAACAGGGTATTTCAAAAGTTTAACCATGTTTACAAATGCATTTCAAAAAAGCAAGGATAATTGCTTTTCCATGATATGGACCCTTTAATGCATATCAGTTTCATTGTTCAGTGGCCTAAACTGTATTTCCTACATCAGGCTATGCAGACTGCACACCTACAGTGCAGAAGCATGTTTGGGATATAAGATTTTGTGTGGATGTCCCCTGCCTGGCACAGTGCCAGTAATGCGAGCCTCTCGCCACCGAGCTGAACTGGAGTTATGCATGTGCACAGCTGGCCACCGTTCCCTTTTTAGCTGCCTCTTTTACATGGCAGTCTTGTGTAGGCAGCTCTTGGGAAATTCTGTTTAAAAGTCTGGCCGGGAGCCAGCGCGTCCCGATGATTTGATTGGCTCGCAGCTGAATTCAAAACAAACAAACAATCCAAATACACATTTCATTGCTACATCTGAAAAATGGCTTGTCAGAATCATTTTATCATAATTTGCTGAGACAGACCGCAGCCTGTGAAGATGTATCGCTTGCACAAAACAGAGAAATAGAGAAATGATGGCATGTATTTTGTGAGCGTATGTTAAAAGGCTTACATAAAATACAGCAGCAGTGAAAGAGGTGGCGTTGCTTAGGGAACAGATATGACATCTGACCACCAAAGACAACACTCTGCAAATGACAGGTCAGATGCACATGAGTGCTTTCATTTTTCTGTTCAATGATAATGAAGCAACTTAGCTCAAACAGATACCTCAAAACAGATTTAGCCATCTGTAACTATGCTATTTAACCAAAACTAGGCAAAGTTGTACTGGTAACAGGAGCATGGAACCAAGTCTACTTACATGGAAATGTGCTTAAATCTGATAAATAGCTACTCTCATGCACTCTAAAAAAGGATGGTTCTTCAAAGGTAATTGTTCTATTTAGAACTGTAAGTTCTGTATAGAACCATTTCATGCTTAAATGGTTCTTTGCATGGTGAAATAGTTCTTCAGATTGATGGAGGGTGTGCTGGATATGGTGCTATATAGAACCTTTTTCGAAACCATACACAACACACTCTTTATCAATCTGAAGAACCATTTCACCATTCAAAGAACCATTTAAGCATGAAATGGTGCTATATAGAACTTACGGTTCTAAAGAACCCTTAAAGAATCATTGTTTTTAAGAGCGTGTCACATCCATTAGGCCTTAAATTCTTTCTAAAGTATTATGCTAGGCAAAACGTCATCTTTTGCTGGATATTTGTTTCACCTTTTATTATTATTAAGTACTGGCAAGTCAGTTCTGACTCCTGGTGACCACACTGTTTGGGTCTTTAGGCTTCTTAATGTCTCGTTTATGATATCTCTGACTGTCTCTGTTCATCTTGCTGCTGGTACTAAACAGGTTCAGGCTTAAATACACTATGAGACCTAAACTATGTGGACACCTGATCATCACACCTATATTTGCTCACATCCCATTCCAAATGGGCATTAAAATGGATGCTATAACACTATTCCAGCTGATGCTTGGCATTGCACATAGTGAGCTTAAGCTTAAGTGTGCAGCTGCTTGGCCACGGAAACCCATTTCATGAAGCTCCTGACAGACAGTTTTTGTGCTGATGCTGCTTCCAAGGGCAGTTTGGAACTCTGTAGTGAGTGATACAACAGACGCTAAGTGATTTTTTAAGCACTAGGCACTCCAACACTCAGCAGCCTCACTCTGTGAGTTTGCATGGTCTACCGCATCATGGTTGAGCTGTTGCTGCATGTAGAGCAGATCTAGCGGAACAAAAATGTCACACACTGACTTAAATCCCATGATAGTGGCACATTGAGAGTCACTGAGCTCTTCAGTGTGACCCATTCTACTGCAGATATTTGTCTAGGGAGACTGCAAGGCTATGTGCTTGATTTTATACCCCTGTTAGCAATGAGAGTGACTAAAACACCTGAATTCCATAATTGAGAGGAGTATCAGCACACATTTATCCATATAGTGTAACTTTATTTCTGAGTTATATTTACTTTATATTTTTAGCACAGCAAGTAGGTTAACTCAGACAGCCCAGTCATTTTAAATAGTTTCAACTGAGCTGGCAGTACTGTACTTTTTCAAGTTCTGTTTACTCTCAATTTAGCTAGGTTAACGTCCCATTTAAGCATGCTTTGCTACAAATATTCATCTGTTTCCTGTCCTGCTTTTTATTGGCCAGCTTTCAGAGCTATAAAAACCAAGGAGAACACTCTTTGGATATCCTGAACTTTGTTTGTAGAGGCAAATCATTACATTTGAAGATCATTTTAAGCTCCCTCGTCCTTGTTCTGCTGAGCGCCAATCTGTGTTGTATTACATGATCACTGGATCCTTTTTTTTTTTTATATAAATAATTGATTCAGGTACACCAAAGCTGTTCACCGCTTCTACACCTTCAACATCAGTGGTAAAGTTAGTCATCTTTCCTGCTGTCATAACCTTTGTTTTTTTCATATCGAGCTGAAGTCCCATCTTCCACTATGTGGCGTTATCCGTCTGCTTCTCTCGTTATCTGTTCTGCATACAGGTTGAACAGGTATGGTGACAGTGTGCTACCCTGTCTTACTCCTTTGCTGATGTGGATCCACTCCGTCTGTGACTGTAACTTGTTGATGAGTGCATAGGTTCCTCATTAAAACAATGAGACGCTCTGATATACTAATGTTCCTGAGGTCATTCCATACTTTTATGTGGTTGACAGAGTCAAAAGCTTTGCTGTAGTCAATGAAACACACGTTGATATGACAACATGAATAAACTATCCATTTTGCCCATAAATGTGTGGGCAAAAATCCCATTCCATCTAATGAGAAACTCTACAAGCTTACAAAGTATGTGTTTTGTAGGCGTGTGGAGTGTGGTTTATTTGTCATGTGATCAACCTAAGGTTAGCACAGTTGGTTTAGTTACAACACAGTCCAGCTCAGTGGTGTACTATTTTAACCTGGAAGCTCAACATTATGTAGAGATTCTAAACTCCAATATGAAATCGTTAGGGTGAGTGGAATATTTGCCAGTGTTCTGTAAAGATTGTCCAACCCCTTTTAATTTTGCTCCTAAAAATAAATAAATATATGTATAAATATATTTAAATAAGTAAATTTGTGATCACATTTTCACAAATTAGGCTCAAATTCTCAGATGTTCATCCATCAATGCAGTTTTGGTATTTCACACATTTCTTTTATTAAACTAAAAATGATAAAAAAAAATGCATCTAAAACTCATCGCTTAGAAACTTTTTTCACAATTCCATGATAAGACCTCACCTGTGCTTTCAGTACATGAGGCACAAATGGCATCAGAGTTGATATTCCATCATCTTAAATGGTCCCAAGCCAGCCTTTACAAATGTGTTGCATATTCTTTGAACAATATGTTATACTGAAAAGCTCTGGTGAGAATGAAGGGACGAAAAGTTACGAGTAATCATGACATTAGACAAATGTGTAAACAGTAGTGATCAAGGTACAGACTGAAGACTTTTCAGTTGATTATCCAGAAAATAAATGATATGACGAGAAATCAAGTGAAAAACAGAAAAACAGTAAAAAAAAAACCTGAATCATATGTACACCACAGCCACAGACATGACATGGTGAAGAAAAGTAGACAGAACTTTTCTTCACTGTAACAGAAACACTGCCTATAGAGATTTTACTGAATTTTGTGTAGTTTTTGTCTAACAAATAATAACAAGCTTTTTTTAACCTAAAAGAATTGTAAAATGCAAACAATCCTATTACTATTACAGTTTTAACACACAAACATTGTTGCACAAATAGAATGTTGCCCTTTAAGCTGTGGAAAGTCCGCTTTAGAGCATTGTCTGTTTATCTATGATCTCCAGCTGGATCCTGATTTGCTGTACTAAAGCCTAAACTCAGAAATAAAACCAACACCCAGACCTCACTGATCAAAATAACTGTAATATCAACCTGCTGATCACCGTACGTGCAATATTAACATAAATATGTCAGTAATGATTGCAAGTTAGTGCTTTAAATGAATATGTTCCTGTTGTGGCAGAAACGCTACGAACTGTAGATTTTTGGCAGTGAAACTGTATGTAAATGACAGAAAGGAGACCTCTTCTCTTCTTTTTCAGCTTCCAAACATTCTTGTTCAAAAGCTTGAACTCATTTTCCAGCTGATACATTAGTCTGCAGAATTATTAGCACCTTCGGTAAACATGAACAAGAATGTCTGTGAGAGGCCGTCATTACTGTTTTCAGCTTAATCTTTACTCTCATGTCTAAATTTTAAGCAAGGCTAAACTGTTCAAATTGGGAAAGAACAATCATCATATAAATATTTTCTCAAAAATATGTATATCACAATTACCCGCACTCCTAGAAATCCTAATGAACAAAACCGAATAGATGCATCTTCCCAGCAATGATATTACAATAAAATCATACTATTTTCTCACGTTGCTGAGAATAGAAAATACTGAGTAAAGTTTATTTTGTTCAGCTTTTTTGCTCATATTAACTCAGGGTTCCAATTCACTATACACATAAATATGATGTGCAAAATTTCCCATTCCTCTTTATCTGTAAGTAAAGCTTGTGGTGCTCGCCATCCATTTTTCTTCAGTGTAGTTTTTCTTCGATGTAGTCAGTGTAGGTCCCAGGCTCAATGCGTCTGCTTCTTTAGGCTTCTGTCTCAGTTCTTCCTCCTGCTTATTTTGCTGCAGCTACATCAAGAGGTTAAAAGAAGTTCAATTTAAAAGATAATTCTCTAAATCATGAATGTTTTTTTCATGTGTTCACATGAACATTCTATGCCTAGCCATGTCTACACAAAAATAAAGGTGCCAAGTTCTTTGGACTGATATGTGAGTGTAACAAATATTACTGAAGTTTACAGAACCTCCACACAATGTAGAAGTTCTATACACTCTTAGAGCTTAGAGCTTTGATGCAATAATAATTTATTAAGGAGCCATTTTAGTAAATAAGAGTGAGTGTGAAGAACCTTTTTTTAAAAGTTTAAAGAACCTCCATATAATGTAAAAGAAGGACCATTTAATTGGTTTAGTAGAAGGTTCTGTAAACCTTTAAAAGGTTCTTCACACTTACCAGTCACTTTCTCAGACGTGGTTCTTAAGGGAACCAAATGTGGTTCTTCTGTAGAATCAATCAAAGAACGTTTTGTGGCACTGTGTACCAATTAAAGTTTTTCTCAGAACCATTTAAGAACCATTTGTTTTTTAAGAACATCTATGAAAATGCGCGAGCACAAAGCAGAAAACGTAAGCCCAAAGATGAGGACTGTCCAATGGGAATGTCCCTCAGCTCTTTTCCTATTGGACAGGCTTAACTTTAGGTTTAAGTTATCCAGCTAAAATGAGAAATCCTGCTTTGTGGAACACCCCCCTGTTGAAGTGCTTTTCTCTGTTTTGGTAATTGTTATTGTCTCCACTAGAGGTCACTGTAGAGCTTTTAAATGGTCACAAACTCACAGTCAATTGTTCATGGCCACCACCATATAAACACATAATTCCAGCACACATTACTCACACATGTACAGCAGAGTGTTCATCTCATGTCCTCAGGACATCATAACAGTTTCTCAAACAAGCCTGATCCAGCATTTCAAGTGCAGTAACACTTACATTCTACAGAATATTATGACTAGTGTGGATTATTATAGAATAGCATTACTATTGTGTAGCTAGAAATTCATTATATCTGACATATTTCTACTAAACCTTCTGCCAATGTTCAGAAGAGCACAGTCAAAAAAATGAAAGGCATTAGCATGGACTGCAATGTGATTATGTACTGAAACGCAGCCAACCAACCACTGGTCAGGACCATTACAAAGCCCCAGTACTGCCCAGAATGATTTCACTGCTTTACTGAAAATCGTGCAGCCACTCAACACCCCAACAATAAGTAAATAGGAACACACACAATGCTGTATTGACTCTGCAACAACAATAGCTGTTTAAAGTCACTGCACTTGGTGGGGTCCTTGGGGACGCATTCTTAAATGCTGACACCGTTTCCCCTTTCATGTAGCCACAAACACTGATTAAAGCTTATTACTGCTTTGTACATCAAGACTAAAGATGCTAAAGGTGTGAGAATGTTTCTCACGAAATGTGAAAAAGTTATATAAAAAACCTTCCCTTTACATCACTGAACAGTTTGCTAGAAAAGTGCTTAAGACTATAGGCTAAAGTCCAGAGACACAATCACTATCGCAAGTCTCCAGTGCCACACAATGGTGCCTCTCCGAAATGGGCAATATTTGGTAGAGGAAGTGGTTATCTTTCATCTTCCAATGGTCTTTTAGGGGTGGGGTGAGGGGAGAGAGGTGGAGGGATAAACAGCAGGAAACACCTTCCCTCGCTCGGCCGAGCCCGAAGCAACAATGAGTTATTAAAAGAAACCAGCTTCCTTTGAGTAAATGGAAGCGGAGCGCCTGATAAAAAGCAATAGAGGGCGGGATGTGGGCAGACGAGGAGGAGGAAAGGAACAATTTAGTGAAGAAAACACAGGATTAGATCTGCCCCTTCTCCCAGCACTCACAGAGCTGGTTTAGTTTTAGAGGATGCCTCTGAACTCCACCAGTGAGAAGAAACAGCTGTCTGAACTAATCTATTACAGTGCTTTGAATGTGGCCGTAAAGGAATACTTCAGTGAAAAAAAGCTAATGATGCTTACAATGAATGGCCTGAAATGTAAACAAAGTCATTCAGAGAGGTTGGATGTGATGTGGTTCATTGCAAAGAATCTTACCAACTCAGAATTCTTTACAGTGGTGGTGATAGGAACCAAACATAGCCATTTTATGTAATATTCAAAACCACCAGTGAATGTCTGAGTTTGTGCTTGTAATGCTGGTTCTGGTAAAATAGTGATAAATCTGGAAATAAAAATCTTTGGGGACATTTTGCTTCACAACACCCTGCATGAACCTCTCCGTCATGAATGGTTTTAAAAGATATATTTCAGACCAAAACCTTCTCCAAACTATAGTAAAACTGTGTCTCAGGCACCAGGCAGAGTATTCATAAGCAGTTTATGTGATAATTTTGGGTGAGGGAGCTTTTAGTGGCATTACGTTCTTCAAATGTCTGGATTTCATCAACACTGTGAAGAATTCTGACTCTGTACCGTTCTCTAGAACAGAGCATTTTACACCAAACCACTTTGAATGACTTTGTTTGTGACTACAGCTTAATGCTTTAATTCAGTGTAATTTCTAAAAATCTGTGGAACTCCCGTATAAACAGAGACATTATCTTTATCTATGGTAATCTGGCAGTGGCTTCTTGTTGTGCCAGTTGCATTTTGGGCTATTTTTAGGCATGGCTAAGATATTTTCTTTGTCTCATTTTCATGGTTAAGCTGCTTACTCTGTGCTAAAATAGTTAAATAACCTTCATCATCATCATCAGCCATCTGCTGAGTATTGACCTTGTTAGCAACATTAGCCTCATGACTCCAGCACTAAACTACAGAAGCAGAATTTGGACACCAAACTTGTCTCAGCTGATCAACTACATCTAGGATAGGTGAAAAATTTTGTACATTAGATTTTTCAATTAACCATTTTTTTTAGACCTCAGAAACGGCTGCAAATGTCAGCAACAATATGAAAATTACGGGAATTAAAGCATACAACTTACACATCAACAGTCTTTTCTGTGAGCTAGTCTTCAGGAGACCTTGGCTCCTTATTGTGTCTTTAAAACTTTCCCTCAGCATCAATCTAAACAAATCGTTGGTAGCTGAGAGCAGGGCTGATACCTTTGTATGCTAATATTAGAATATTGGCTGTAAATGTACAGTGAGCAACATACCATTCTCTGCACCGCCTGATGACTTCACTCCGAGCAGCATGACCCCATCTTTGTTACTTTCAGTCCTTTGGAATGAAGCACTAAGATGCATGGAAGAAATGGCAGAAAGCAATTAGCATCACAGACAAAACACTACTTCACAACATAAGATCGTCAATATGTGAGTAGTTGTGGCCTCATGTGGTTTACACATGTGTGCTAGATTTCAACCTGGGTAGTTGTGCAAAACACTATGAGATCTTAAAGCACTGATCTTAGCGTTGATTTATATGTAACAGTGGCATCGAAAAAAAATAAGGCAATTAAGATTAGAAAGAGAGCATGATCAATTCTGTTTAACTGGATTTAGTGCAGCACTGTATGTAAAACACTGAATAAAACTAAATGCATTCGCACTTTTTTAATGTGGCACTACTGGTTCTTTTTTTTTGTTCCAACTTAATAAACTTCACTAAAACTAATATCATGCTATTTGTCATGTATCGTGAAAAAGTCTTGATGTATCATTTTGTCATACTTTGGCCGTATCCCCCACCCCTACACAGAACATTGATCACTCCAGACTTACAGCACAAAGGGGCCTGTCTTCAGCATGCACACTTTACAACCTATGCTAAACAGCACAAGGACATGATGACATGCCCAAAATGTTACCATTTATATAAGACATGGGAGATGAAATAGTAATATGAGGTTAGGGTAGTTCATTTACATAAACTGAGGCAAGCATAATGGCTAGAAAATGAATCACTTAGACAGGCAGGTGAGAGTGCTTCATAGCAGAGAAGACTAGAGTAAGTTATTTTTTGAGGCCCATTATGTCATTGAAAGGATCCATTGTGTTAGACTTTTAACTTTTATGACCGAAAGTGTGTGGACACCTGATTATCACACTATATAAGCTTGTTGGACATCCCATTCCAAGCCATGGGCATTAATATGGGGTTTGCCCCCTTTCCACTGTTCTGGGAAGACCTTCCACAAGATTTAGGAGTGTGTTAATGGGAATTTGTGCCCATTCAGTCAAAAGAGCATTTGTGAGGTCAGGCACTGATGTTGGATGAGAAGGCCTGGGTTCCAAATTACAAATCAAAAGGGGTAGAAGTTAGGGCTCTGTGCAGGCCACTGGAGTTCTTCTACACCAAACTCATTAAGTCATGTATTTATTACTTTGCTTTGTGCACAGGGGCACAGTCACGCTAGAACAGGAAAGGGCCTTCCACAAACTATTGTCACCAAACTGGAAGCATAGAATTGTCTAAATTGTCTTTGTATACTGTAATACTACTCTTTACTGGAAGTAAGGAGCCTAACTCAAACCTGAAAAACAGCCCAAGACTATTATTCCTCCTCCACCAAACTTTACTATTGGCATAATGCATTTTGGTAATTTGTGCTCTGCCAAACCCAGGTTCATCCATCAGACTTTCAGATAGCAAAGTGTGATTCATCACGGCAGAGAACACGTTTCCTCTGCTCAGCAACAATATGGAAATTACACGAATTAAGGCATACAACTTACACATCAACAGTCTTTTCTGTGAGCTAGTCTTCAGGAGACCTTGGCTCCTTATTGCGTCTTTAAAACTCTCCCTCAGTGTCAATCTAAACAAAATGTTTGTAGCTGAGATCAGGGCTGATACTTTTGTATGCTAATATTAGAACATTCAGATAGCAAAGTGTGATTCATCACTGCAGAGAACATGTTTCCTCTGCTCCAGAGTCCAGTGGCAGTGTGTTTTACACCACTCCAGCTGATATATTTGGCTATGTGCATGGTGATCTTAGGCTTTTGAACAGCTGCTTGGCCATGGAAACCCATTTCATAAAGTTCCTGACACACAGTTCTTGTGCTGATGTTGCTTCCAGAGGCAGTTTGGAGCTCTGAAGTGAGTGATGCAACAGAGGATAAGCAATTTTCACATGCTTTAGCACTTGGTGGCCCCACTTTGAGTTTGTCTGGTCTACAAAATCTTGGCTGAGCTGTTGTTGCACCTAGCCTTTTTTTTCACAATAATAGCACTTACAGTTGATTGGAGCAGATCTAGCAGGACAGAAATTTGACTTATGGCAAAGGTGGCATCCAATGACTAAAGTGAACTTTCAGAGTCACTCAACTCTTGAGTACAACCCATTTTATGGCGAGTGTTTGTCTATGAGGATTGCATGGCTATGAACTTAACTACAACTAAGACACTTGTTGGGTGTTTTATAGGTAAGGCTGAAAAACTTGAACTCAATATTTAGGAGGGGCGTCCACATACTTTTGGCCATATTATGTACACTAGGAAGAGTGTTATATTGAATTTACTTGATGTAATGGGTGCTATAGGAAGCTGCCTTGCTGTCCAAATTATCCAAAAACAAATACTCACTTCTCAGTTCCGCTGTCTGTCGTCTCTAAAAAGGAAAAAAAGAAAGTTCAGTTCAAAAGGTCACTTTCTGACCACAGAACCACTTTTGGGTGGATATTTTTGCTTGGTGGACTATTTTCAACAAAGCAGTGATATTAAGATGTTTAAAACTCCTGATATGATGGAACCAGTGCCACATACACACTGCCACTATCATGTAAGCATCACTAGTGTTTTAAGGCCAGTGGTGGACCTGTGGTGGACCTGTGATTGGTCCCATTTCATTGATGGATGGGGTAGAGCATGGCTGAAAAATTTACCACACAGATGGGCTTCAGTCAGTAACTGTAAACCTACAAAATGTACCTATAAGGCCAATTAGTGTAAATGCAAGGTAGGTGATTCTAATAAACTGGCAAATGGAACACTTTTTAGTAGTCCATTGAAATCTGCATTTTGATAAATACCTGCATGACGGCGGGTTTTGCAGCATTTGAAGTACATCACTGTGCCGATACCAGCAACTCCCACAAGCAACAGAAGCCAATAGTAATTCTTATCTGTAACAAAGTAATATCACTCTATCCGTTATCTGTAACATATAATAATCACTGTATCAGTAAGACAAAAACTCTACTATATCTGCTGTCTGTAACACAGGGATAACAAAATTACTTTTATCTGTGTCGTAGCAATAACATTATGAATACAACAGCAATTACACTGTAGAAGCTGTTACACAACAACACTATATTTGCTGTGCATAACATAGCCATACCACTGCTATGTGTAACAGCAATAACATGTTTCCTATCTGTAACATAGAAATAACGCTGTGTCTGCTATGCGTAACGCAGCAGTAACACTATATTTTCTATCCGTAACATAGAAAAATGTGTAATACAGCAATAACACTGTATCTACTATCTGCAGCATGCATAACATGACATGACATGTTGATGAATTATCAAATTCTGACAATCACCAAAAAAAAATCCCTTTTCCATAGATGGTTCTTTAAAGAACCGTGTTTGTAAACAACCTTTTTAAAGACTAAAAAACCCTCCTGGTGTGAAATCACCAAACGTAGCTGGATTAAGGCCTCCATGACAAGAGTTGAGCCATGACTTTTCATGAGAGTTGTCCAAATTGTAGGACAGTTGTACACATGTTGTGTTCCACTTTGGTAACTTGAAAATCAACACACTGCCTGAGTTTCTGATTTGTAATTTCCCAGTTGGGAAGTGACATGAAGACAGTGCATGTTGCAGACATCTTTACGAAATTTTACTTGGATGAAATACAGAGAAAGCTTGATGTACCTGAATTTGAAATGGGTTGATCAGACTGTGGCCCTGCGGAGGAAAGAAAAATACACATACATGATCAATAAATAAACAATAATGACAAATGTTGAGTCAGACGATTTTTTCTTCTATTCATGTCCTTTCCTCATATCTGGTTTATGTATCATTAGCCCTTTAAACCTAAAGGTGGGTAATAATCTTTCAAATTAACAACTGTATAGGATTAAACCTGCATCAACTCCTCCATGCTCTTACACAATATTAGTCATGTGCTACTATTATTTATTCAGATTCATAATCAGCTGCAAAAATGAAGCTATCAACCAGAGCCTCCTTCCATCTCTCTTTCCTCCTATGGTTCATCTAGACAAAAATATACAATGAGTAAAGATGCCTTTTTATTTTACTTTACATGTGAACATTACATTAAAAATGTAACTCTTATGGCTCTGCTCCTATAACTGCAGTCAGGTTCAGATATGTTTAGTATAATTATAGATATCAGATTTCAGATATACAGACAACCAAACATTCTCATGCATGCAGACAAACACCTATACATGAACATACAAACGTACCATGTGTTTGGATGTCATTGCTAGAGTCAGTCTCATTTACACTGCCTCCTTTTGAAGGATCTGGAAGAAGATAGATTTCAAGTTTACACAATTACAGTATATAGAACACTTTTGTTTCTTTTGCTTATGTGGTACTACATCCTATAACCTGCACTTTCAAACTACACAGACGCCTATTTATTAGAAACATGTCCCTTGCACCTACACTTATTGGCCATTTTATCAGAAACACCTGCCACACAGGGCAGTGGTCACCAACCCTCCTCCTAGTTCCAACCTGCATCTAACATGCTCCGCTCCCCTTACCTAACGCTAATGCATTAGCCAATCAGCCAATCAAGGACTTCTGAAGAAGTTAATTAGTGGAGCAACTGGGTTAGGTAGTGTTTGGAAGAAAACTCCCCAGAAAGGTAGATCTCCAGGTCCAAGGCTGGTGACTACTGATACAGGGACACTTCGTTTGTTCTGACTGAAGTTCATCTGTTACTGATCAGTATCTCATCCCTCCCATTACCCCATCCATCAATGTAGAGACCACCATATGACCACCACTAACCAGATATTATTTAGGTGGTGGATCATTCTTATTCTTGCCAGGATTTTCACACTGCCAGTGCTGAGAACAGTCTACCAACCTAAAATATCTAGGCAACGGTGGTTCTGTGGTCAGAAACTGACTCTTGATAAAGGTCAAGATGATAATTAACACAAAATATGCATAGAAAAAGATAAGCCATGGCTTTTAACTGTATACCTGCAAGATATATTGACAAGGTAAGTGTGTCTAATAAACTGGCCTGTAAGTGTAAAGAATGTTTAAAAATCCCAGCATTCCAGCTACAAAGGTACTCTGAGATGGTGTTCAGGTCAGGGGCATCTCTACACAATTTACTGGGGCAATTGTTGGGCTAAACTACACAAATGTTATGACTGCTTGAATTCACTACACACATTTCCCACAGTTCCCTAGCATCTTTCTTCTGAATGCTTTCTGTTTTCATAGTTGGTCTACATGGTAATCAAAGGCTGTAGTTAAGCTGGCAACTTGTGTAGTCTGACTGAATTTAATAATAATGAACTGATGATGCAAAAAGCAAATCATGCAATTAGCGTGTAGGTTTTGTCTCAAATTATTTCACATGCATGTATAAATAGAACAGTGAGGTTTTGGAGCAATGTCATAGAAAATCCACTTTTGGTTCCCCAAAGAACTTTTTTTCTGGACGGTTCTTTAATGAACTATGTTTGTAAATGATCTTTTTAAAATAAAGAAAAAAAAACACTTTTGGATCAAACTTTGTGGAATTAAGGCCCTCCATGTTTTTAGTGAGAGCTGTGCACATTGTAGGATATTTGTAATGCATGTTATGTTCCACTTTGAAACTTGAATATCAACCCAGTGCCTGGGTGTCTGATTTGTAATTCTCCACTTGGGAAGTAACATGAAGGCAGTGTATGTTAGAGACATCACAGAGAAACACAGAGAAATACAGAGAAGGTTTGATGTACCTGATTCTGGATTAGCCCGGGGTCCTGTGGAAGAAAGAAAAATATACATAGTATACATTATACAAGCAAATACACTGTAAAACCTAACTGTGCTGCTTAATGAAAGAAATAAGTTAAACAGCTTAAATTCTACATAAATCTGAAGACACTTAGGCCTTTTTAAGTAATAAATGTTAAGTTATAACTCTTTATGTTGAAGGCAAAAACAAACAGGTGAATAATAACTTGTTTTTAAAGATTGTTTAAGATTTAGTGTGGCTGTAGTGTTTTCCCCACTTTTAATCTGTTACAAGCACACAATTCCCTCATCTACAGTCAATGACATGAGAGTCTAGTTAAAAAACACAAAATTAAGAATAATTAAACAGCATGTATGAATAAAACAATTATATATGCACACTTGTAATAGAAGACAGACTTTTTACTCCACATGCAAGTCCAAGTTTTAGCCAATTAATAATGACCTATGTTAAGTATTTTAAGTGACGGTTGCCAAGTGCATGAAATTGGGTAGCACCTGGTGGCTTCAGCACATACTGAATGTTTTCCATTGTGTTTTAGCCAAACCATCAGGTGACGAGTCTTAACTGTATTCTGCCTGCTAATGGAGTTTTCTATATCAGTGAATTTATCCGATAGACAAGAAAGTAAGGAGGGTGTTCTGATGAGTTGTGCTACCTTGTTGAAATGTCCCACTGTAGCGCATATTTATAAGTAGCTCTGTATGTAAAACTCTAGGTAGGATATTCTGATAGTCTAAAACTCATCAAAACTTATCAAAAATACTACCAGTGTTAAAACTATGAGGCTGAATTTAGCTTCTTTTTCACCAGCTGCTTGTTTAAATTTTCTCATTCCAGATTAAATGGTGCAGCAGTTGTGATTAGCTATCACAAACATTAGCAAACAGAACAAAACAATACTGATCTGTTGGTTCTTTGAAACAGCAAAAATAAGTTAATGTTACCTACCTGTCAAGCAGAGCAACCTGCTCATATCATGTCTTTCAACTCTCCATGAAGCTGAAGTCAGCTTCTTTTTCACCAGCTGCTTGTTCGAATTTTCCTGTTACACCTTAAACAGCACAGCAGGTATTCTTATAACACTTCAGGTGTCAGAATGAAACTGCTGCACCATTTAAGGTGGAACAGGAAAATTCAAACAAGAAGCTGGTGATTGTCAGCTGTTACCAGCATTAAAAGAATAATTAGGATATTTTGATAGCCTAAATCAGCTCATCAGGGCATTAAGCAGTAATATTAAGCTGCACTGAATTATCCTGAGTGCAGGTAATGTTATGCTTGAAAAGCTTTTCAGTAACTTATTTTGCACGCTTGTGTCATCTAACTAGCATGAATGTTTGGTGCAAAAAACAAATCACACAACTAGCATGTATGTTTTTGTCTTGAATTGTTTCACATGCATGTATGTATTTTTTAATTAAAGTAGAACAGTGAGTTTTTGGAGCAGTGCCATAAAGGATCCACTTTTGGCTCCCCAAAGAACCTTTTTCTGGATTTTTTTTTAATGAACCGTGTTTGTAATTGACCTTTTTAAAGTTTAAAAAACACTTTTGGTTGTGAAATGACCAACCTTTGCTGAACAAAGGCCCCATATGAGTGTTGGGCACATTGTAGGATATTTGTAATGTATGTCATGTTCCACCTTTGAAACTTGAATATCAACCCAGTGCCTGAGTTTCCACTTAGGAAGTCACATGACAACAGTGTATGTTGCAGACAAGAAAAACAGAGAAGGTTTGATGTACCTGGTTTAGGAGTTGCAGCAGTTTGTGTAGTCTGGGGTCCTGTGGAAGAAAGAAAAATATACATAATATACATTATACAAGCAAATACACAGTAACTTTAAAGGCAAAAACAAACAGGTCAATAATGGCTTGTTTTCAAAGATTGTTCAAGATTTGGATGTAGAGTTTTCCCCTCTGTTACAAGCACACAGTTCCCTTGTCTACAGTCAATGACGTGACAATGTCTAGTTATACCATCTGAACATTAATTATGTCAATGCCAACGCAAAATTAAGTAAAATTAAGACAGCATGTATGAATAAAACAACTAAACGTGCACACTTATAATAGATCATATCATGCCTTTCAGCTCTCCATGAAGCTGAAGTCAGCTTCTTTTTCGCCAGCTGCTTGTTCAAATTTTCCTGTTCCACCTTAAGCAGCACAGCAGGTGTACTTATAACTGCTGCACCATTTAAGATGGAACAGGAAAATTCAAACAAGAAGCTGGTGATTGTCAGCTGTTACCAGCATTAAAAGAATAATCAGGATATTCTGATAGCCTAAATCAGCTCATCAGGGCATTAAGCAGCAATATTACGCTGCACTGAATTATCCTGAGTGCAGGTAATGTTTTCTGGATGTTTTTTTAATGAACCATGTGTGTAAATGACCTTTTTAAAGTTTAAAAAACACTTTTGGTTGTGAAATGACCAACCTTTGCTGAACGAAGGCCCCATATGAGTGTTGGGCACATTGTAGGATATTTGTAATGTATGTCATGTTCCACCTTTGAAACTTGAATATCAACCCAGTGCCTGAGTTTCCACTTAGGAAGTCACATGACAACAGTGTATGTTGTAGACAAGAAAAACAGAGAAGGTTTGATGTACCTGGTTTAGGAGTTGCAGCAGTTTGTGTAGTCTGGGGTCCTGTGGAAGAAAGAAAAAATATACATAATATACATTATACAAGCAAATACACTGTAACTTTAAAGGCAAAAACAAACAGGTCAATAATGGCTTGTTTTCAAAGATTGTTCAAGATTTGGATGTAGAGTTTTCCCCTCTGTTACAAGCACACAGTTCCCTTGTCTACAGTCAATGACGTGACAATGTCGAGTTATATCATCTGAACATTAATTATGTCAATGCCAACGCAAAATTAAGTAAAATTAAGACAGCATGTATGAATAAAACAACTAAACGTGCACACTTATAATAGATCATATCATGCCTTTCAGCTCTCCATGAAGCTGAAGTCAGCTTCTTTTTCGCCAGCTGCTTGTTCAAATTTTCTGTTCCACCTTAAGCAGCACAGCAGGTATTATTATAACTGCTGCACCATTTGAGGTGGAACAGGAAATTTCAAACAAGAAGCTGGTGATTGTCAGCTGTTACCAGCATTAAAAATTATCAGGATATTTTGATAGCCTTAATCAGCTCATCAGGGCATTAAGCAGCAATATTACGCTGCACTGAATTATCCTGAGTGCAGGTAATGTTTTCTGGATGGTTCTTCAATGAACCATGTGTGTAAATGACCTTTTTAAAGTTTAAAAAACACTTTTGGTTGTGAAATGACCAACCTTTGCTGAACGAAGGCCCCATATGAGTGTTGGGCACATTGTAGGATATTTGCAATGTATGTCATGTTCCACCTTTGAAACTTGAATATCAACCCAGTGCCTGAGTTTCTGATTTGTAATTTACCATTTAGGAAGTCACATGAAGACAGTGTATGTTGTAGACAAGAAAAACAGAGAAGGTTTGATGTACCTGGTTTAGGAGTTGCAGCAGTTTGTGTAGTCTGGGGTCCTGTGGAAGAAAGAAAAATATACATAATATACATTATACAAGCAAATACACAGTAACTTTAAAGGCAAAAACAAACAGGTCAATAATGGCTTGTTTTCAAAGATTGTTCAAGATTTGGATGTAGAGTTTTCCCCTCTGTTACAAGCACACAGTTCCCTTGTCTACAGTCAATGACGTGACAATGTCTAGTTATACCATCTGAACATTAATTATGTCAATGCCAACGCAAAATTAAGTAAAATTAAGACAGCATGTATGAATAAAACAACCAAACGTGCACACTTATAATAGAAGACTCCTTACTCCAAGTGCTCGTTTGGGGCACGTGAAGCTGCTGCCACTCATCTGTGATAAAATGCGCAGTTACGGTGAAATAAGATCCAGTGGTGATGGATGTCCACGCAGCACATGTTACAGCTATTCTACCCGTTTTCTTTAGTGATTTTATAACTTCGGTTTTGGTCTCGTTGTAGAGTGAGGCAGGGGAATCGCTGTGTCAGTAAAGTATCTTCGAGACGGGTCGTGTGAAACATAGCGCGAAAGCCCTGTTTCGCAACGACTAAGAATTGGCGTGCAGACTGCAGGTCACCTAGCAACGATGCGTTATTCGCATTTATAAGCAGCGCAGTTGGTTTCCTGGTACGTTAAATCTGCAGCGAGAGACTGTCAAACACTAAACAGTTACAAAGATGAAGTCGCTTCTCTTTCGAATTCTCCCGTTCCACCTTAAATGGTGCCGCATTTACATTCGGCGCCTCAGTTAGAATTTAAGGTGGAACGGGTAAATTCGAACAATAAGCTGGAGAATAAGAAGCGACTTCAGCCTCGTAAAACAGTCGAACGTTGAGAGACATTTAACTGATTTACCCCTGAGGAAAAGTTTTCTGGCGGAGATGGGAGGAAAGCGGCTATAGCTGAGCTAAAGCTTAAAGCAGAGCGAAGTAAATCTGCGTTTTCGTTTATATTGTTTAGCCTATACTAGGACATCATCACATACTGAGACATACTGGACATTAAATGCTGTGGCTCCCAAGGTGGTTTGATTTTTGTTGAAAGGACAAAATGTCTCTTCTTATCATTTGTGTTGTGACTCCTGACCTGACCTGGCTTTTAATGCAGAGGGAGCCGGTCAGATTTCTCGCTTATCCAGTTGTGTTTTTGTTATGTGCCGCCACAGACTGTCCGGGCGCTGCACTTCCGTACTTCCAAGTTCCGCCCTTTGCATTCCGTCAACATTACGTTATAAATTAAATATTTAGAAAGAGTGAGCTGAGTTATATTCCCTGCCATTGAGTGAGATTCTGTGCTAGCTGGACACTGCAGTGACTATCTTGGCACTCAAGATTACACTGTCAGCATTTGGCAAGATGGTCCATTTATTCACCTATTTAGCGCTCAGCAGTTTAGCTCCACCCATTAACAACAGTCACATCGAAGTTATAAAGAGCATTTCAGCCAGCCTGTTTTTTGAATGGGGCGCAATGCAAGTCAACCAGTCAGAACAGAGCTCAGTCGTAAAGCAACATCATGTAAATGTTACCTTAAAATAACAGCTTCAAAATCATTTTGAAGGTACACTGACTCATAATAGGTAAAATGGCATCTCTGTCATAGACCACTGATGTCGTGTGTCACTCTGTGGTCCACATCATGCCCATATTTGGAACTCTGGGTCTGAGCTTGAATTGTCTATGGTCAATATGAATGGAGTTTTCAAAAAATTGCCTTTAGTGCACCCTGTGGTAAATAACAATGTTCAGAACCCAAAATGCTTTGTTTTTTGTACATTTTTCTCTTGAACATCACTGAATCCTCTGAATTACGAGATTGTTAAAGAGTCATAATACTAATATTGCTATATGCAAGCTAATACATCATATTTATGTAACTAAACTATGAGAAAGTAAGGCGGACTGGTTTTTATTACAAGATATTGCAAACTTTAAAGGCTTATTTGATGTGAGATTGGCAAAGACTGACCAAACTGCTTTATGTGAGATTATTTTATTTTTTTGTATGCTAGCCTGAAATAGGACTGAGGTTAGATGGCTTTAGGCATCCAGAAACACTACAAAACTCTATGAGACAGGGATGACACAACAAGGTAACAGCCTACATCACAATCTTTTATAAATAGCATTGGCAGCGATGTCAAATTTCTATTGTTTGCCAGTTAGCCGTGAGATGGTCTTGCATCCTTCTATCTCTTTTAGCTTTCACAAACTAATAAAAGCCTGAGATGTACTCTTAACCAGTCTCTCCCCCTTTTTCTCTTCCTCCGACATCATCTTCTTCACCTCTCCACAGTCTCTGCCAAGAGGTCCATGCTGGGAATACCGAGCAAGCTTCTTCTTATACCTAGCTGAAGAACCGTAGCTGTTGGTGTCGTAGGTGAAGATGTGGTGCCGTAAAACATTACGTAGTTCTCGTAAGAGGTCTCATGCACACTCCTCCAAGTCACATAGCGCTATAGCAGGCGCTCCAGGCCTGGAGTGGCAAAGACAGACGCCTTTCACCCTATAGTAAGTCAGTTTACCATCAAAATGATTTTGAAGCTGTTATTCTAAGGTAAAATTGTTAGATAATGTTGCTTTTGGGTTGCAAGGGTGGAATGAAAGCCCACATTCTTCACTCTCGTAACAGCTGAATCATAAGCCTGCAGGTTAACAGGTTAGCTCATCAGGCTTTACAGTGTACACTTCCCTGCATGTGCACACACACACACCACACACACACACACACACACACACACACCTTCTGTTTGTGGTGAGGTTTTATCTTTGCCAAGTGTCCCACTGGTGTTTATGGTGGGGCTTGTTGTCCTGTTCCCTGTTGTGTTGACTAAGAATGAAAGACACAGAATGAGCACAAAACAAAAGTTCATGATATACATTGTTCCTTCAGACTTTTCCTACATTGGACTTGTATCTATTATGGGAATTCTAGTACTTGCTACACTTTCAACAAATAAATGTTCTTTATGAAGTACTTAAACAAGTGATAGAACATTAAGCATAATGCTACTCTTTTCTATCACAATGCTGTGGTTCTGAGCTCTGGTTCTGGAGTCGTCCTGTGCTGCATATTCAGTTTTTTGTTTTTTTTTGCTGCTGTAACATACTTGATTCAACTAATCAGCTTGAATACAATCCCTTCCTGATTTGAACGTTCATGGCAGGGCTTCTCCAGAACCAGGGTTTGGAACTACGGCACTAAAGGAACACATCATGATGATGACCACAGAAGTGAAACACTGGTACACTGGTACTGGTTATTTAGATTGAAACTCACCAGTTGGTGAAATGGTTGATGTGGGAGCTGAACCCAATGTCTGACTTGAAGCTGACTTGCTTTCTAAACAGTGAGAAGTTTGACATTACTTGTTTGAAAATTCCTTTGAATAGAGCAGTTATGTGCTTGGATTGGAAAATTACTTAAGAGTAACTCAGCCACTGTGCACTGCTTTCCATGCAGCTAAAGATTAATCAGCATTAGAGGTTAAAGTGGTATTCAAGATGGATACAGTAACATATGTCATGCACACAAAAATAACTCTTTGGAGCGATGTGATTAGTCAGATTAAACAGGACTGTACAGCACTCACTTTAGTGATTAAAATAATCTGTGTACAGATAAATATGTAATTATTCATACATGTTATTCTTTGTATTGTTTCAATAAAATCTACTGAAAGGGCTTGTGCAAAAGACAACAAAAAAACTCACCAGTTATTACCACTTGTGGGCTTTTTGAGATGGTAAGTGTTGGTGTTGTTATGGCAGTGATCTCTTTTACTAAATAGAAAAACAGAAATACATGAAAAATACTTTGCATATAGTGTTAAATACAGTACTGGACTCTAAACACTGTACTGGCCTACAGTCTGATATGATTATCATGCTTTAATGTAGAGGAATGCAGTGTTGGTTGGCACAGTTTCACTCTCTGTCGTGTATCTCAGACAAACACTTTCAATGTCAGAAAATCTTATTCGGAATTAGAGTAATGTATGTAATGTACTCGGAATGTATATATTTCAGTTTTTTAACTAAATATTTTAAGTGTTTTTGAGTAGTGAGGTAAATTGTGTTGCACTAACTAAATTTAACATTTATAACCAGCAATTTTTCAAATTCTTTGTTCAGGTAACAAGAAAAAAATGCTACATAGGTCAACAAATTATTGTTTTTTTACAGTGTGGTATTTTCATCTTGATATAGACTCACTACAGGCAAAACATGTTGTTAGAAACTGAATGTAAATATAATACAAACAGCTATTTGTGCTATTTAGCATGTGTGTAGTGTATAACAACATATTTATGACAACAGACACTAGATACTTCAGGTTAGCTGGCATTACTTCTGGTTGGCTTTTAAATGATCAAAATATAGCTGACTGCCATTTCAACTAACTAAAATGAATATATATTGAATAATGTTCAGAGCTCTTAACATCTTGATTGAATGCTGGTCAAGAGAGCAATCACTATTGTGTTACATTCTTGTGAGAGTTCCACTTATAGACCTGGAATTTGTGCTGACCGACCAACTGGCCCCTTGTTTCCCCTACAGTATCAGTCAAACATTTGGGCATACCTGATTTTACATATATATAAACACCTTGTATCTCCAAAATGGTAACTTTACAGGAGAAGGAAAAAACCTACTTTACTTTTATAGATTATGTCAAAAACTTAAAAATTACAAAAATGGAAAAGGTTTTCTTCAAAACAAAACATAATTTTTTTTTCCCTTGAAAACCCCCTAATAAATAGTTTTCAGCAGACAGTGACATCTTGGTTTTGATGTCTAAAAAAATAGATGTAATCCACAGCAGTGAAACCCTACGGTACTGTACTGGTCAGTCAGAGTGATACTCACCATTTTGGGTCACTGTTGGGTTTTGGGAGGGAGATGTACTATTTCCTAAGTAGTAAAAAGTTTGACATTAATAATTGAAAAATTCTTTTTGCACAAAGTGTACTGCAAGCACTGTAGTGGCTTATCTGATCTGTGCATCAAATCCTCCTAAATATGAGTGCAGTGGCTGACAAGACCCTAAACACAGTACAATTAAAAACGCATTGCAAACTCATAAATGCAGAAAACACTTTGATCAGCATTACTACACCTGAACTACATTTCACAAACACGCTGCAAACACAGAAAACACTGTTTCAGAAATGCTGCAAAGCCAGTCACAGCACAACAGAAGTGAGCCACAACACAATGGAAATGTTTCTGGAAGACTCTCTGATGACTCATGGTTATCTTGGCTGGCTTGTTGGCCATCTGACATGTCATATTTATACTTCGGTAATTATCAGTCACATCTGGTATTGCTATTTTCAATTTTACACTTACACTCTACAGCTAGTTCCTATGACGATACAGTGACATTAGTTATCTGATCAATTAAAAGTTAATTTACTTACACCGGTGAATGTTTATGCTGTGTAGAATTTAAAAGTTTGAATGGCTCCTTTTCTTTTTGAGTGTCTTCTGGAAACATTCCATTGTGTTGTCATTGACTCTGCAGCGTTTCTGAAGTTGGATGTGTTTTCTGTGTTTGCATTGCGTTTGTAAAATGTCGCACTGGGATCGTCATTTTGATGAGTGTTTTCAGTGTTAGCAGCTCATATTTTATTTGCAGTTCATTTGCTCTTGTGGGACCTAAAGGTAAAAACTATTCAGAATGTTTTGAAATTGACAAGGAGGCAAAATATGACAAGCATCTATGCAGATGATGTACTTTGCATGGACGTTTGTCCTCACTATATTTAAAGAACAAGCCATACTGTAATAAAATGTCATTTCATTCTGATCTGTTCTGTACTCCAAATTTTAGGACAAGGTGCCAATCGTGGGACTGAACTAAATGCATGCAATGTTTGGACAACTAATCTTCATAGTTTTCAAAAATCAAATTTACACCTTCTCCCCTTTTAGTGTCCAAATTGTCCTGGGTATTCCACTGATTTTCCATTTTTTCTGCTGTATTAAATGATTAAGATGAAAACAAAATTATTCAGAGAGGTTTGATTTGAAAGGATCCATTCTAGAATTGTTCACAGTGGTGGTGATAGGAACCAGACATCTGAAGGGTTTAATGCCTCTAAAAGCTACACCACAGACAGCTATTACACAAAAGGGTTATGAATATGCTGCCTGATTCCTCAGACATTGTTTTAGTGATAGTTGTCAAGATTGTGGTCTAAAACGTTTAAATCTATTCATGGTGGAGGGGTGCTTGCAGACTGTTGTGAGGCAAAATAGTCTCCAAAGAAAACTTTTTTCAGATTTATCACCATCAACATTACATATAAAAACTCAGAAGATGTGTGTAGGTCCGCTGGTGGTTTTGGATAGTAAATAAAATGGATATCTTTGTGTTGTAGGTTTCTATCACAACCACTGTAAAGAAAATGCAAGTGAGTGAGTTTACCTTCAGTGAACTATTCACATCAAAACACTCGGAGCTGCTTTGTTTACACCTTAACTTCTGAATTAGGTAGTATTTTTCAAAAATTTCTGGAGCTTCAATGCTAATGTGGCTAACAAGTAATAAAAGCTTATATACACCGATTAGCATCATGCAAGCTGCACCCACACTTGCCTCAAATCTGAAAGACTGAATGTATGACATACTGTTAAAACGAAATGACAGCACAGACAAGTTTTCAGGATTTTCACTAGTTGATTACTCAACAGCCTTTGCTTTAACCTTTGGCTGAACGTGAACGACAGAGTTAAAGCTAATGAGCAGATTGTGAAGGTCAGTGCAGGCCTGAGCTACTGTGATAAACAGACTTACCGTTTGCTTCAGAGTCTGCTAGAGTAGACTTGATTGCTGAATGGTAAAAAGATTGACATTACTCAATTGAAAAGGCTCTTGTGTACATGTTTGCATATAACGCTACTAGCAGTTGTCTAATATTTACGGACATCTAGATAAAGAAGGAAAAAAATCACATGCTTTTTCCTCTCTGGTTCTGTCAGCAGTAAGTTGAAATATTGATTTGCTATTTTGAAAAAAGCAATATTGCTCAAAATATTGACTTAATATTTTAAAATAGTGATTCATTTTCTTGAAATAATGATTTTAGAATCTTGTAATAACTACTTTCCAGAAATTCAATAACTGTTTTTGAATGTATCACAATATAGAAGAGTAAATTTATAAATTATTTTGAGATATTATGTTATTATTTATTTTATCTGCCATTAACAGCAAATATTACAGAACTATGTACATTGCCAGGACCTGCCATACATAGGGGGTTATAATAATAATAATAATAATAATAATAATAATCAATATAATTTACAAAAAATGTCACATTTACAAAGTTTCTGCAAAAGTATATGTAAGTAAATAAAAAGCAGATCTCAAGAAAAACTCAAATACATCTTGGTCTACAATATATGAGAATTATGATTAAGATCAAACTAAGTCCATATTTTGAGATGCCGCTGCCAGAAACAGAGAAGAAGAAACACACAATTGTTTTGTCCTCTATTTTTCAGAAATTGGCTTCCATAGATACTCTGAATAGAATTTATGCTCATAGACTATTCATAAACAGTCAGGCAATACAGTTGAACATCTGTGCCTTGAAATGGACTTATCTAATGAGCTCTGACTCTGAGATCACAGGGTGAACGTTTGAGTCTTTCCTTTTTGGCACAGACTTATGTGACTTGTTTGAGGCCTTAACAAAGGCTTTAAAAGGCTTTAATTCGCATCCAATGACCAAAAAAAAGCATTCCCTCATCCTTCAGTACACACATCCTCTAACTATGAGCACAGCTGTGAAAAGCTGCATCCTGTGGAGCCCTCATTCATTCCCGAGAGGCTATCGGAAGCTTCCTGTCAATGTTTCCTTTCCAAGATGGACACAGTCTCTATTCTCTTGTTGTCTGGTTGAATTATAATTATGTTTGATTTATGTCCTAAGCTAAGATAAAGCTAAGGCCCGACTCCATCTAATTTTGGCTGATTGAAATGGTACATATAGCACTGTGCAAAAGTCAGAGACCATTATTTCATTTATTTAATTTCCAGCCAAAAGCAAGAAACATATAATATACAAATGGACTTCAACACAGTGTAATATCAAATTTTTCAAGCTCAGTTTCTACTATTTGCCTTTATTACAGCTTCCAATCTTTTCAAAAGACTTGCTTTCAGTTTTTCAAAGAAACTTACAGTGATATTTTTACACACCTTCAAAGTTCAGTCTAGAAGTTGGTTGCTTTTTCTGCTTCTCACAATCCAAGTAATCCCAATTATTTATACCAGGGGTTGGCAACACGTGGCTCAACAGAATTAGATTTTTAAGTAAAAATAAAAAAATCCTTCTTTGCAGTAAAATAAAGCTCAGCTGATCGTTCTAACACAGCTTTAACACTAAACAGTCTTAAATGCTGGAGTTATATGTATGTATAACTGCTAATTCACCTTTAGCACCTATTAGCACCTATTCACCTGCTAATAACCTTTAATTCTGAAGGTTGGTGAGCAGACTGCTGGTCAGCATAGCAACATAGACAAAAATCTCGCCTAGCTTGTAGCTACCGAAAAAGGCAAGGAGAAAGATTTAAGATGAACATCGATAATTTTTAGATGAATGAGCTTATTTGCATTTAGCATTTATTTGCATATAAGCACTGAGCTGGTTTCCTGATGCGTTTAATCTGCAACGAGAAACTGTCAAACACTACAAAGTCTCGAAGATGAAGTCAGCTTCTCATTCACATTGTTTGAATTTTTCCGTTCCACCTTAAATGGTGCAGCAGTTACATTTTAACGCCTCAAGCACCTTGTAAGGTGAAACAGGAAAATTCAAACAAGAAGCTGGTGAACGAGAAGCTGACTTCAGCCTCGTAAAAAATCAACTGTCGAGAGACATTTTACAAGAAACTATTCCTCTTTTGTGGAAACGTTTCCTGCCAGAGATGCAGGAAAAGTGGCTATAGCTGAGCTAAAGCTTAAAGCAGAGCAAAGTAAGTCTGCGTTTTCATTAATAATATATTTTTTTGTCTACACTGATATATTAGCATATGCTGAGACATATTTACAGCTAAGATGGAAAAACGTTGCTTCATTAAATGGATATAAAATGTTGTGGCTCCCAAGGTGGTTAGATTTTTGTTGAAAGGACAAAATGGCTCTTCTCAACATTTGGGTTACCGATTCCCTATCTAGACTCAAGAGTTAATTTTAATATACAAGACCTCCAGTTTCAGTGTTCTAGTGGTCCCATAATTTTTTCTTTTTTTCGGAAATTGAATAAATGAAAGCGTGGTCTCTTTTTTACACAGTTCTGTATCACACTCTTCTGAAAAGGTGCCACAAGGAGTTCTTGGGACAATATCATTCAAGAGCTCCTTTTGGCTCCTTAAAGAACCTTTCAGTGGATGGTTCCTTGGAGAACCATTTGAGCGTGAAAAATGTAAAGGTTATATTTCAATAAAAGAATTTTCATAGACCCATAAGTCCAAGCCAAGAACCATTTGGGAACTTTTATTTAAATGACCTAGCAGGTGAAATGATTGCAACAGGAGCAGAATTAATTTGGAGCATTTTGGAAACGTCTTTATACAGAGTCAACTACTGTCCCTTGACATGCAAATTAGCAATTATTAACTACTTTTGAACTGATTGTGAATTAAAGTAATCTATTATTCTGATACACAGCAAGTGTTGGTTAACCTTTTATAAAACAGGAAAAAAAAAAATTGTGTTTTCGGCCTCCTGAGCCTCTGGGTGTTGACCAGTTTACTGGTCGTCTTGGTAATTTATGATGGAAAATTTGCTGTAGATTTTGCCGTACTGAGGTTTCACTTGCTGGACAATGTGTCTTTTCCCTGAGAGAGAGTGGGCAGAGCAGTTCCCACCGGCTATCTCCGCAGCCAATCACTACCATGAGAAGAAAATGCCTACACTAGGCCGATGCCTTTACACAAGCAAAACAAACATCCACACAATTCGCCACTCTTCACCTTCCAAGTTCAGTTATTTAGGCCTTTTCTCAAGCACCCATACCTCAGGAGATCTTACTTACTGTTGTACACAATTACTATCGTTCAAATGTTTGGAATCACTGTTTTCAATAATTTATATGTTTATATTTATATTGCTGTTGTCGGAAGGAAAACTTGTATCTCCATTTTTGACGTTTTTCAGTTTTTGACATAATTTGAAAATACCCATTACCCTTTACATTGTATGCAAATTATATGATGAATGGACCAAAGGAAATGACCCAAAATGACTTTGAAAAAAGTCTGGTTCCATTGTTTTACATTAAAAGTAAAGTAGTTTTTTTCCTATTAAAGTTACCATTTTGGAGATACAAGGTTTTCTTCCGACATTGTATGTATATACAATGTGTGTGTGTATGTATGTATGTATATATATATATATATATATATATATATATATATATATATATATATATATATATATATATAAAACCCTAACCTTATATATAATATATATATATGATGATTCCATTATGATGCTTGTATTCTACAATCTCAACTAATTTATAACATGCTGTGCAGGGTTAAGAAATGTTAGATGTGTCCAGAATGATGAACAGAGCTTTAGATACTTTTACTGACTGACGAAGTTCTATAACATTAAGAATGCAGTTATAAAAAAAGTACCATCCAGAATGCCTCATATTTCAAATCTAATAGCAGATAACTTAACAAAACGTCTAAAAATACCTAAAAATACTTCAATATAAGATCTAAAAATACCATCAGATATCATGTTTATAGTGTTTTAGTCTACGCTGTTTAAGGTATTATTGAATAAAATAACAACCATAACTAATATAAAGAGTGATTCCAAATGTTTAAACAGCAGTGAACTTTTGACTCATCTGGGACTTGAAGATTTAGGGACTTTGCTAAATAATTCAAAGCTTTTGTCTAAATATGATCTCAAATCGTATTCCTCACCTCACAGCTAGTATAGGAAACATTGACTTTCCTAAAGCCTGGTTTTGGGGTAAATAAATTCACACTTATCCTCATGAAAATCTGTAAAAAAAAAATCTATAAAACAGTGGCATTTTACTACCCATGTGGAGACAATAAACATTGCTTGGTATCACGTTTATAGTCTTTCAATATACGCTGTTTAAGGTATTATTGAATAAAATTACAATGATTATAACAATATTATAACTAATGGTGGATGGAGTGGTTCCAAACGTTTGAACAGTAGTAAATTTTTGACTCATCTGGGACTTGCAGGGGCTAAATTATTCAAAGCTCATGGGGACCTGTTAAACATCTCTAAACTGATTTTACTAACCGTGTGGAGACAATAAAAATTGGAAAGTTTGGAAAGCTTGAAAAGACAGTCACCACTTAAATTAGCATTAATTCATTAAACAGCATTAATTAAACAGCATAATCTTTTCAGAAATGGGTTGCAGCCAAAAACAAAGTATAAATTATCAAATTATTTGAATATTTTAAGACTATTAATTATAATGTCAGATTTTCTGTAAGCAACTTCCAACACAGGTACATTGAAAACAGGCACTTCATTCAGTTTCTTTAAAGAAGACCTAAAAGATTGTGTCCGCTGCAATATTTCATCAAACATACTCCTAAAAATAAAGGTTCCATAACGGTTTTGGCTTGGATGTGTGGTTCTAGGGAAAATAAAAAACTGGTTTAGCATCTTTACACTATGTGGAGGTTCTGTAAACTTTAAAAAGGCTCTTCACTCTTGCTCATCTCATTTAGAGAAATGGTTCTATATAGAAGCATCCACTGAAAGGTTCCTTAGGGGACCAAACATGGCTTCTGTGGCATCACTCCAAATAGCTGGCTTTTTTAAAAGAGTGCATAAGCTTTCATTGTAAAGAGAATGCAATACCATGAATGCACACTAATAAAGAGATGTTTTACTTACCGAAGAGGAGAAGACATGAGAAGAAAAGGATGGTGACCCTGGGAGCCATGGTGTTCCTATCTGGTTGGTGCACCAGTGGTACAATGGTGTCACTCTACAGCTTCAGAAAGGTTGAACAGTGCCAACAAGCATACGCAGAGGTGCTCACATCTAGCTCACAGCTGCTTATTCTGGCACTTCCTTTAGCTAAGGAGAGGAAATACATCGGCTTCCACTTGGGTGGAGGGCTAGTGGACTGGATGGGGAGGTGGTGTTGTTGAGTAGTTCAGCCAGGGTGAGAATTACAAACCCTCCAGACAGGAACTCTGTCGTCAAGCCCTGTGTTTGTGCTCCTTTGCAAGTCTTTCCTGCCCTGGCCAACTTCTGTGATTGCTCTGGAGTGTCGTGATCATGGTGGTCAACATGCAAGGTTCTAGTCCCTAAAAACCCAATGATATGTACTGAATATGTTCAAAACATGACAGGCTGGCTTATAATTGTCCACAATCCTGCACTTTTTAAGGACAGCTATAAGCATGGAAGAGGATGCAGCTTTGTTTTACTGAAGAGGAATCCGCACCCTCAGGTCTGTGACGAAAATAAGGCCGGATGGCTGCATTTTTAGTGGGCAGCTCCTTTTAAAAGCCCTCTCTCTAGCTAAATTTGACCTATTCCTGTCCATTTAAGTGGTAACATTAACCCCTTAAACACTAAGAGCCCACACTTCAGTTCCTCAAACTCATATTAGTTTTATAGCAGTTACATAATAGTTAACAAATAACTCATGGTTTTTGCTGCATAACATGCAAAATGAATAATTAGCTTAGAGCTGAATGGGTTAAAAATGTCTTCTTTTTCTCTTGCTCTGCCACTTGCTTTTGCATTCTGTGAACTGAATCAGGGTGCAAACCTTTAATTCTGAGTGCACTTTACAGTAGGTTCAAGCTAACGTTGGCTACACTGCAGGTAGACAGCCTTGTGAGGACCTCGTGGCGCAACGGTAGCGCGTCTGACTCCAGATCAGAAGGTTGCGTGTTCAAATTACGTTGGGGTCAAATGCTTCTTTCAAAGGGGCAGTCATGGGCTGGAGGTTAGGGAACCAGCCTTGTGACCAGAAGGTCGCCGGTTCAATCCCCTCAGCTGACAGTATGTGACTGAAGTACCCTTGAGCAAGGCACCCAACCCCCAACTGCTCCCCAGGCACCGTGGATAGGGCTGCCCACCACTCCGGGCAAGTGTGCTCACTGCCCCCTAGTGTGTGTGTGTGTGTGTGTGTGTGTGTTCACTAGTGTGTATGTGGTGTTTCACTGCACGGAAGGGTTAAATGCGGAGGTCTAATTCCAATGTGTTCAGACACAGTTGGCTAAAAAAAGGTTCATTTCATTAATTTTTTTTCACTTTTTCATTCTTAGCAACCTCAGGATGGCTTTACAAAACATTGTCGTGTCTCCAAATGTTTAGCTCTAAACTGCAATTCCATATAGAATTTTCAGAGATGTTAGACCTGTTTTTAACCCTTTAAACACTGAGTGCCTGTATGTGTCCAGGCTTCAGTTCCTCCCTCTTAGAATAACATAACTCACTTATTAGTTTCATAATAGTTACCAAATATTTTATAGCAAGAATATAGTAATAATATAATAATAGTATAGTGTGGTATAGTAATAATACAGACCCACACACACACTAAGCTGCTTATCCTTCTGGGTCACGGGGTGGGGAGGTACTGGAGCCTATCCCAGCGGCCACCAGTCCATCACAGGGCAGACATACAGACATATAAAATTAATTTATATACAAAATACACTCACACCTAGTCCGATTGGCCTAACTGCATGTGTTTGGACTGTGGGAGGAAACTCACATACTTGGAGAAGCCTGGTCGCGGGCTGGGGAATCGAATCCAGGCCTGTAATAATAATATAGTGATAATATAGGTTCGTTATAGTATAGTGTAGTATATAGTAGTTATATTTAGTAATACAGCACAGTCATAGTATAGTATAATGTAGTAATAATATAGTACAGTAATAGTAAAATGTAGTAATAATATAGCACAATAATAGTATAGTATAATATGGTAATAATATGGTATAGTGTAATATAGTGATGGTACACACTTTAAAATGATTGTTCTTCAAGGATTCACAAGTAAAGAAAATGGTTCTATATAGAACCATGACCACTCAAAGAACCTTTTGCATATTAAAATGGTTCTTTGCATGGTGAAATGGTTCTTCAGATTGATGGAGGATGTGTTGTATATGGTTCTATATAGAACGTTTTTGAAAAGGGTTCTATATAGCACCACAAATGGTTCTTCTTTTGTTACAAGCTTGACATTGTAACAATAAAAGAACCCTTTTTAGTGCTATAAGAACCATATACAGTACATACATATACATATATTTAGCTCAAGATTAATAACTGAAAAATAAGCCTAGTATTCAATGGCTCAGAGTGGACAAGAACACCTTTAGATTATCAAATGCTACTGAATCCTACTGAAAAGTTTGAAGGAGTTGGAATCATCTTTAGTGCTGTGTTGCTTTGTAGAGTGGGTGGGGCTGTAAAGGCCTTATTACAGCCATACAGAGGCTACTCAGAGAACTGCTTATGTAAGAGGTCTACACCCAAACCACTTAACATTACTTCTCAGTCAGGATGTAGTGAGAGTATACTCAATAACTCTCTGTTGTGAATTATGACATTTAGAGCCATGAAGGAGGAATTCTACTGGGAGTACAGTACACTGAAAAAATAATGCACTGAATGTCTATAATTTCCACATAAATAAAATATATTACATCAACACAATCACTGCCAACAATATAGAAACTGAAAGGCTAACTGAAGCATCATGAGAAATTGATGCACACATTTGAATGGTCAACTAAATGTATTACTTTTTTACTCCACAGAAGAGTCCGAGACAGACTATGACTGGACATGTTCAAGCACCTCTGTTGAAAATTTGAGCAACAACGCCTGAAGCATGTGGAACACATGGTTGCTAAAATGAAAATCAGGCAGAAATGTCACTCATGAAGCACTTTAGCTTGCGTCATGTATAAAGCCCTTCCTGGGCGTGTGCGGTTGTGTTTGTTGGTGCCAGAATCTAAGTTGATGCTAAAGCCTTCTTGATCCAAAACAGGATGCAAGAATTCTGCTTCCTTCCTGCATCTATTGTGTCTCACATGTACACTTGAGAAAGGCCAATGGAAATTCAGTGACAGCAGGGCCTAAAGCACTCCTTTAGCGTAAACTGTTAATGTTGTTCTTTGGCAAGGAATACCAAGAGGAGACAGACTAGACAAGGCAAAATATGACAACCATTCAAACATCTCTGCTGGAGAGCTGGAAGAAGCACAAATAAAGTACTAGCTGATACATTTGATATCAATGAACTGGACAGCACAAAATTTTGTTATATGACCCGTTTCTGTTTTATGAGAAGGGCTGAGGGTTCTGGACCTTCTAAGAGTAAAGAGACCCCCCATAAGAAAGGCAAAATTGAACCTGGGGGCTCCTTTGCCAGTTCCTTGAATAAAACCCACATTTTCTGTCAAAATCAAGGCCCTCACATCACATGACTAGCTAAGATTTCATTATGAATAGCATCAGATTGCTCCACCTGGATAAACCATAAACTCAGACAGGCCAAATTAGTAACATAACTGTATAATATAGAGCACTGAGCTGTGTTGCCAAACTGCAAGCCACTGAACTGAATCATAATTTGGTTTTACTTCTTATGGGACCCGCCAAGCTGAGGAGTATATCCACTTTTCACTATATAACTAATATATTTTATGTAATTAGCTAAGAAAAGTAAGGCTATTAGACCTGATTGCCAATGTGTTTTTGTATCAGCTTAGAAGTTATGAAGGGCATGAAGTGTTTTTCTTTTCTTCTTTAATTTTGTTTACACAAAGACAAATGGAAAGTTGGAAAAATAATTTAAAAGTCTGTAAAATCATTTAAATTAATAGAGTTATTAGGCTAAGAGTAATGCCTAATATTACATTTAATAATAATAACATTTTATTTGATAAGCGCCTTTCAAGACACCCCAAGACACTGTACAATAAAAATAACAAAGACAAAAAATAAAAATAAAAAAATACACTAAAAATAATCATAATAAAAAAAATAATAAAATCACAGTACTGGTTCACCCAAAAGCCATCTGGAAAAGGTGGGTTTTAAGACCAGCTTTGAACATAGCCAGTGTTGAGCAAGCACGCAACTCAGAGGGGAGACTGTTCCACAGCTTGGGGCCAGCAACACTGAATGCCCTGTCACCAACAGTACACATCTTAGAGGGAGGAACTTTGAGCAAATGTGAATCCGAGGAGCGAAGAGTGCGAGCTGGAGAGTATAACTGAAGCAGACTACCAAGGTAGGAGGGGGCAAGGCAATTCAAAGTTGGACTGATGTGCTCCCAGGATCTTGTGTGGGTTAAAACCCTAGCAGCTGAATTTTGCACATACTGCAGCCTATTCAGAACCCAAGCAGGGAGTCCATGTAGCACAGAACTGCAGCAGTCAATTCTAGATGTTACAAAAGCATGGATAACAGTCTCAGCAGCAGAAAAACAGAGAAAAGGGCAGATCCTACCAATGCTCTTCAAATGGGAAAAAGGCTGCCTTACAAATGTTCTTGATATGGGGTTCAAAAGACAGAGTGGAGTCAAAAATCACTCTCAAATTTCTAATCTGGGTCGAAGAAGAGACAATATAACCAGGAATAGAGACAGTAGTGTTGCTTATCTTTTTAATCGTAGCTGGAGAGGCAATTAATATGGCCTCCGACTTATTACTATTCAGACTCAGGAAGTTCTCAGTTATCCATGCCCTAACATCAGCAAAACAATTAATCAACGCCGAGGGTGGTAAACTGTGAGATGGTTTAGTATATATATAGATCTGCACATCGTCCGCAAAACAATGAAACTGCAATCCATGACGCCTGATGATGTCACCAAGGGGGAGCATGTACAATATAAAGAGCAAAGGGCCAAGAACTGACATTTGAAAAAACTGCAGAAATAAACCACAAAGAAATATTATTAAGCATAATATTCATCAATTTATAGGTCACCCATCAACCAGGGGACCCTCCAAGAGCTCTGCCACAATCTGAACCCTGAAAAAGTGTTAAAATTAGTCTGTCCATGCCCTGCCCTCACAAATGCATTGTTACTTTGCAGAACATTGGCAACAGCCCCATTCAGCAGAGGTTTAAATTTAGGTCTTGCTAATGTTGAGTTTCCAGGTAAAATGCTACACACTACAAAGATGCTGTAGCTAATCGAGACCAGCCAGGATGGAAACGACACATTCGTCATGCTAATGTTAGTTTAATTACACAAGAAAAAAAAACACCCAAACTATCTTTCACATGAATACTTAAAGTATCATTTAAAATGAATAACAAACTATAAATCTCTATATTACTACAACAACTGTCATTTCTCATTAGGCTGAATAAGATTTTTGCCTGTGTTCTGTAAAGCTTGTCCAACCTCACAATGATTGCTGCATCTGTACGCAGAGCATGGATAGGCCTATCTGGCAGATATGATGGCTTGTAAAAAGAAACAAATCTCAGACTCCAGCTTTCTTGCTTCTTGTTGTTTTTTTACAAACGGGTGGAGACAGAGTGAACGGCCTACGAATCACAAAAGTAGAACATTTTATTTTCCCAGTGTTTGTTGTACTGGTCATGTGTTTCCTTCAGACACTGTTATCTGTTCTGTGTGATCTCTCATGAAGGATTTAACTGCAGGATGGCATTTTCGACATCTGCATGGAAGATTAGATAGCAATCGAAGGTTGAAGCCAGGAGACATATCTAGCAGTGGGAAGATCAACAGCTTCCCTGAGAGCATGAATCTTCTCTGTGGAACAGAGGTTTTCCTCTGGAAAAAATGACCCGATTCTACAGAAAAACTTGTGGTTCCCACACAATGGACCAAATGATGATAAGCAGGAGGGTAATTCTGCAGAATTCTGCTGTTACTCTGAGTGCAGACTTTGGGAAGTTTGGGAGCAGACATAAATATGGCAATTTTCTACAAATGTTAGTGCACAGATTCTATTTATTTGCTGAGTTAAACATATTGGGGGAAGAAAAAACAAAATGTGCCATAACCTTTTGCACAGGCCTCATTTTATGTTGCATTTTCCCCCCAAATATGTTTCATTCTGCAAATGAACAGCAATTCTGCATTAACATGTACAGGGATGTGTTCTCTGTAGAGGGTGTGTTAACTTATTTTCCACTTAGAAAATCAATAAAACAAGTAAATTGACCAGGGGCGGCCAGACTTCTGCATGTGACTGTATTTACAAGTGATTTTTGATTTGTTTGGGTCATGAGAATGTGGGCTTTCAAACAGGTATAAATAAAGTGGGCTTAACTTGGTGCAAAGTTCTCACTAGTATTAAACCAAGTTGCAAAACGAGAACAATTAATCAAAATAGGACTTCTTAGGCACAGCAACAGAACAGTAATTATCAGGACTAAAATCAGTGCAGACAGACTTGAGTCTTTCTCTTTTAAAGTCAACGTGTGTCACATTTTCTTTCCATACTGTGAGAAATCAGGGAGGGTCTCTGAGCTAGCTGAGCGTTTTTGCTTGTTGACATGTAGGGCTGGGGAGAAGTGAAACATGATATTGTAGGTTAATATTATTTTTTTTCCCACCCACTGCATGGTGCATGGTGATGTAATCAAAACTCAGAAAACATTTCAGAGGTGGGCTACACTTCGATTAAGGATTTGGGAAAATAGGGACATGAATGTTTTCTTTCCAGTATTAGCATCAACTGCCCAGGAATTACGAATGAAAAGCCATCTGGCTAAATCTGCCACATTTACATTATGAAATAATGATGATGATTAATGTGTATTGTCCCTATTAAATTAATAAAGTGCAAAAAAGGCTATTTTTGATTTCAGGTTGACTTTAAAGCCAGTCAGATCTTGAGGATTTAGTAATATTTTGTTTTGATAAAGTTGAATTGCATCTATTTGCTGTGATGTTACCTTGATTGATTGGTGTGTTTTTACAGGATGTAAGCAGAGCTAACTCGAATGAACTTCCTTTCCAGCAATTCAGCAGAGGTGTTTTCATAACAGACTGAAACACGTCCACTGATTTTCCCTCACTGTTTATCAACTTCATCATGTGAACTGAAGGAAGCACCTAATGGCTTTAAGGCTGCCAAGTCCTCGTTTCCACTTCATTGTTATTAATGCTCCAATCTTTACTCCCTACAGGTACTAAAAGAAATAACCTGTCTTCAGAAGACCTGGAGCCAACGTACTGAAGATTTTAGCACATGCTGAAATTGTTTACACATGTAAAAGATGAATACGTGACTTCAAGCACATAAGGTGGAAATTAGGGTTGTAATGATAGACAATGTCATTTTCCACGGCTGGCAGACATCATGATGTTGAATCAGGTACAAGCAGTATTTTAATAATGTCCCTTGTATTATCACCATGGTGGCAAGCTAGCAGGGTTAGCCCAGAGCTATTTGGGATTTTTATGTCAGATCTAGTTTAAATATGGATATTTGTAGCTCGTAACATTTGTAAGCAACATTCTTTTCTTTGTATGTCACCGGTTTAGGTAACACTTTATTTAAAGGCTTGAAGTTAAACTTGAAGTCTGTCTTTTACTATTGTAGCAGCTTTCTGCTACCTGTCCAGTCTGCTAGTGAGGGCAGAATATAGCCAGTTGTAAAGAAAACACAACACGTAAATTAAAGGTAATCTGCAAACAGTGACGTTCAACTGGCAATTTATCATCTGATTTTAACTGTAACTACTGGACATTTTCAGCGAGTCAATATGAAGCCACAGTCTCCTGTCTGCTGAAGCTCTGCTCTATTTGTGTGAAGCACTGCTGTTCTTGCCATAATTTCATCTTCACTTGGCTGTACTGACAGCCGCAAATGACACGATGTCCCAGAATGCCTTGAAGACATTTAATTAGACAAAACAGTAACTTAAAAAATAAGCACGCTTCTTTACTTTGCTAAAACGGTAAAAATGACACTTCCATTCCCTAATCAAATATTTCAGCTATAATCCAAAAACACCGCGGTCAGGTAAAAAATAAGGTGGATACAGAGGAAAGACAAAAGAAAAATAAGGAAAGTTGGGTGAGTAGGAGAGGATGGGCTGCAAATGGGCTCAAATGTGAATGGCCCCCAACCCTGCCAATGACATTCATTGCAGTGTTTCCCAGTAGACATCATCATAATAGGTAGACATCGGCTAACCCTTGTGGAAATGCAATCCCTGTTAAGGGCTGCTTATTGAAAATACTTCCATCATGTTTCACAGACGGGTAAAGTAGTGACCAATACCTGTGTGTTTTTTTTTATGACTGCAAATTTAAGCAGTGTTATATAAGATATTTTAGATGAATAGACTCCTGCAAGACAGAATTGATTCACCATTCATTCCACATCTTTAACCCTTGAGACTCCTCAGCGCTTTTTCATAAACAAATACAAATACAGACGAGATTTATTTTCATGCACATTTTTATTGAACAGTATTATAAAATACTTTTTAATAGTTGTGAGTGCATGCGTCATCTGCCAACAGTTTGGAAGTTAAATTACAAAAGCAAGGCTTAATGTTGTGTAGTGAATTACTTGGGCACTTAAGCAATCGTTAAAAAAATTGATGAAGTACTTTGTTTTTTTTTCTCTTAAAGTATTGAGCAGTAACAAACTTGTAACTGATATACAAAGCAGAGTTCCTAATAATAATAATAATAATAATAATAATAATGATAATAATAATAATAATAATCAAATTACACTTTTTTTTCTGTGGCACGTTTACAAAACAGAACAAAAAAGATCTAAATGTCTTGTATGACATTAACAGCTATCATGCATCTTGAGTTCCACATGTAACCACAAACTTATGTCACGAGAACAGCTAAACATGCTAAATCGGACTACATGTGTGCTTACAAGCGTAAAAACCATGATTCCTCATCCAATATTAAATAGTTTGATGCTTTCATTACAAAATAAGTTGAAGGCCTGAAGCTTTATCCCGGTGTTATAGTAAAGGATGGCGGTATACATTTTCCAGTATATATCGACTAAGCACACTACAGATCAAAACTGGCCTCGGCAGCCAAGGTAATTCATTCATATTTCCTTTGATAAATCTTATAAAACATGCATAGGCAGATGCTTTCAGTTTTTTGTCTTTTTTTTGTACAGAATATAGGTGCTTTATATATATATTTGTTTGTTCGCAATACTTAAAAAGAAAATCGAACACTCACAGAAATTCCAGCAAGCCACAATAAATCTATTCCCCATCTCGAATAAAACAAAACATATTCGGCAAATGATAGGTGTCAATTCCAGTTTTCAACTCCAAGAAAATGGGTACTTGCTATCAAGCTAATTAGCCATTATACAGAAAACAGGATCAAAGCACACACACCAAAGAAACCTGAGGTAAGCATAATCTGTACAAAACCATAAAACGTTCCATTTTTGGCATTTCAACAATGTTGCAACATTCTTTTAAGACTGCCTAATTTACTTTAGAGCTAGTTTATAAGAGTAGCAAAAAAAGGTATCAATAAATAGTCCTTATTTAGTTTGTACACCCTTTTTATGTTAAAAACTTTTTTTTATGTTCTGTCCATTTTTAGTGCTGTATTTTTGTAAACGTACAATAATTAGTAAGAAGTTACACACACAAAAGAAAAAAAAAAAAAAAAATTCTGTTATCCAGTAAATGAGTAAAGGCCTTTTCACATAAGATATCTCAGTTTGCCTGCTGCTGCTTCCCAATCCACAACCAAGAGCACCCCCCCAACCCACACACACACTTATTCATTCAGAAAAGAGTGAACCAACGAGAACTTTTCATGGTTTCTACAAGCAAAATATTTTTTTAAAGGCATATCCAAAGACTAGAGAGTGTCACTCTGAATCACGTTTGAAAACTTTGCTCTCTCTCTCTCTCTTTCTCCCTCCTTCACCTCCCTCTCTCCTCACGCTCCTTCCTCTGACCTCTTCTTCCCTCTGACTCGCCATTCCCAAACCCTGTGCTCCTTCGTTTGACTGTAGCGTGGAGAAAGAGAGGGAGGAGCCTCATCACTGCGGTGACACTGGCGGGGCCGCGCCAGCGCGTCATTGGATGTTGCCGCTGCCGCTGCTGGCCTTGGCCTCGGTGCCGTTGGTCTCGGAGCACAGGGCCTTGTTGAGGGAGTTGAGGCTGGCGTCGCAGGGCAGTGCGTCGCGTCGCGGCGGCATGCGCTCGTTGATGCGGTCCAGGCCTTTTGCCTCCTCAAAGCTAGTGATCTTATGCTGTGGCGAGAAGCCTTTGATGGCTGGGGTGGGGAGGAGGAGAGATGTTAAAACAGGTGTTCTTTACACTGGGACAAGGCAAACCCCCCCACATACAAATACATATCCCCACGTCTTATTTGTTTGCTGCTCAACTGACATATCTTTGCTCCACCCACAAATATGTTATTTCATAGCAACTGTTGCTAGTTCAGTCTTCACAGAATGCTGGTAAAAATCTAATTTCAGCTAATGATTGTCAAACTTGGCTACATAACACTGATTTCCAGTTAAAGAGAGCTTGAAATTGCACAGGAAAGTATTACGGAAAGTTCATCCAGACTAAAACGTTCAGGATGTCCGAAATCACTGCTTGATGTGAATAAATCTGTTAAAGCAGAACATAACTCAGTACAGCTGATTGTTTGATCATTTTATCACCATTTTTATTATTTTTTTATTCATCCATGATCTAGTGACTGCTATTATTGCTGCAACATGCTAATTTATTCATCACTATTATTAAAAATGTGGGGTTTTATTCAGCACTTTTGGGACAGAATTTTGTTGGGCTCGGGTCGGATGGGTCAGGATGGGTCTGACTTGGACAGGAAGTTCTCAGCCTGTATTTGAGCTCGGACCAAAACTTTAGGCCTGATTAAAGTTCTAACTTAAAAAATGACCTGATTAAAGCTCTAGCTTAAAAAATGCCACACCACTGCACCAGACTATGTGGCTGTAGCTGAAACTAGGCAGGCTGCTGATTAGCTCGACTAACAAACAAACAAACAAACAAAAAAACTCAACCTGATCTATCCTAACAGAGTGACACATGAAACATAAATATGATTTGAAAAGATCAATAATATAAATGGTAGGTATTTCGACAAAAAACGAGTCGTGTTCTACAATTCTTGTTAGGTTGAATGTAGTTTTTACCAGTGTTCTGTAAAGTTTGCCCTGCCTAGCAGCAGTTGCTATGAAAGAAAGCATTTGTAGGTAGAACACAGAAGGTTAAATTTTGAGTATCTATGCTAATCCAGAAGTTGTCATTATTGAAAACCTTCAATACTGAAAACCTTTGGCAGCTAGTGTAGCACTCATTCATACTTCCTTTTTTAAACTGAATAAGATAAAACATCATAGAGCTTGATACTTCATGAGTTTTTGAAACACGAAAGAACTCATGATTCTCCAAATGGTGAAAAATGGGGAGGAAGAAACATAAAAACCTTAGAAAAATGCACAGTCTTCCTGAGCAATGTAACATATAAAAGAAAACACCACAATATCCACACTAGTCACCATTTTCTGAATTACAGATTGCCGCTGGAGCAATGCTGGGCTGTCTCAGTTCTGGAGGGCCATGAATTTGAAGTGCTTTCCACAGGGCTGTCTCTCTTTTGGCCAATCGAAGGCTTGTGTTATTTCATGCTGCCCAGTGAAAACAACGCCAAGCCACCAAGAACAGAGCTTCCCACCACACTCCAAAACAAACACTACAGAGGCTTGGGGAAAATGTAAGGTATAAGAGAAAATAGGGTGGGGAGAGAGCCAAAAAGTACCACCAAAACAAAGAAACAAAAATGGAGACAAAAGGTAAATGTTTGCGTAAAGGAAAGGTGGTACCACACAGGGAACTGAGGAAATCAACAACTGAGGTTGAAGTTGCTTGCTAACCACGTTATGCCTGTTTGAAGCATGCAGCAAACTAGATGGAACTGTCCAAAACTGCTCAAACTAAGTGTTAAGGAGGATCTCTTTCTGGCTGGGCCTGTCATTTTAGTGGGGGGGAGGGGTTTGGGCCATGTTGTAGGATGAATACATTTTATGTTGCTGCATAGCACAGGTCAGACACAGGTTATTAGCAGCGAAGAAGAGAAACACAGTGACACAGCACAGCCACAGACTATCCACATGGAGAAAAAAGCCAAATAATAAAATAAGTAAATAATTACAATAACAAAATTTAAGAAACAGAAGAAAACACTATTGACACAGTGGGCACCTCTTTATCTAAAGGAAATGCTTAAGCGCTAACAGTTATGACGTAAATAGCAGCCAAAGCCACTATTTAGAGCGCAGTTGAGGTTGTTCTTGCGGTGATCACTTTGTAATGACTGTGTGTAAAACTGAACATTTAGGCAAAAACAAAGCACAACTGCATCAGCACCATTGATTTAAAGGGGAGAAATTGTCTGTACTTTCAGTGACCACTGTCTTGTAATGTGTACTATATTGCATAAAAGCTTACTAATAAACAAGTACTCATATCTCACAAATGTTTTCCAATCACAAACTAAGTTAATGATTTTGCTTCTACACAAAATGTTTCCTTTTAATGGGGAATCCACAGATTATTCTCAATTTCTGCATAAGTAAATCATGATGTAAATGAACTCATTCAGAGTGGTTTGAGATTTCAGAGAAATGCTCTGTTCCCAGAGAAACTTACCAAGTTAAAATTGATCACAGTGGTGTTGATAGGAACCAGATGTCTGAAGAGTTTAATACCTTTAAAAAGCTTCAGCACATAAAGCTTCTACATGAAATAGTTACAAAAACACTGCCTGACCCCTGATACGCGGTTTTACGGTAGTTTTGCCTAAAATTTTTTAAGCACATTTATGGTGGAGAGGTACATGTGGGATGTTGTATGTCTTTATCAGATTTACCACTACTTTACCATCATGAACATTACGCTAAAAAACGTGTAGGTTCACTGGTTCTTTGCACGGTATCTAAAATGTAGAAATCGCAGCACCTAGTTCTTATCACCACCACTGTAAAGAAATCTGAGTCAGTAAATTTCTCCACAATGCAACATTTCACATTAAAACACTCTGTATGACTTTCTTTACTCATCACCATTTATCTCAACAATTTATTTATGCATAAATTTCCAGAAAACGTCTTTAATGTGATTACATGAGTTGATGGAGACCTCTAACAGTCTGGAATTGGAATGATGATGTTCTATTCACATTTAAAGTCCCATTCCCCTTTAAAGCAACTGTGGCCTGCTTGACTATTATCTTTTCTTATTTCTACTTTTGCTGAACACTACAGCACAACTGGTTTGCCCAAACACCCAACACACTCTACACAAGCTACAGTGAAATGGATGGACCCACTGGAAGCCCTTTGTCTGTTGCAAGGAGGCAACAGAAAGGGGAAAGGGGGGCGTTGGCCTATTTACCTTCATCGGCCTCTATAGCCTCAATAGTAGCTGAAGAGAAGAAGGGGGGAGGGGGTTGCAAAACGAGTGAGAGAGGTGAGCAGAGCAGGTTACATTTGTCCAGGAACAAGTCAACGAGCAGCAAAAAGAGCAAAACGGACACATAAGAGCATTAAAAAACAGTGGCCTAACCCTGAGGCCAGGGCACACAGTGATGTTAGAGGGAGAGAGAAGAAAAGAAGAAAAAAAAAATGAAGAAAAACAGAGAACTGGCTGAAATATGGAGTGGCGTTTGGATGGCATTCACAAAAATCATCACTTTAAAACACCACACAGAATGGAAGATTAAAAGGGAGTGAGACTGAGGAAGGAGGACACGGATAACGTAATCAAAGACAGTTTCTGAGTATGTCTTGTGTTGTTCTCATTTAGCCAACAGCTTTCTATATTAGCAAGAAAGCATCACTAGATTTAAAAGATTACCATGAACTGGTGATATTCAAACAAAAAAGAGGGGCATTTCATCTAGGTTAGGTTACTCTGTTTCTGCAATGTATATCGCCACTGTCATGTCAAAACCTTGTAATCTTGTGACTTTCACTATTTATAGTGTTTTTACATTGTGTGAACATTTCATGACAATGGGAACATAAACATACATGAAGTTAAAAATGTGTTCCCTTCTCCTTTAGTAATAATTTTGTAGGTATCAAAATGATAGCAACAATATAACAGCATAACCAAACTCTGGCTTAGATTATTGCTGAATGAGATAGAATAATAAAAACAAATACGTAACAAAACAAAATAAGGAGTGACATTTTAAATTTGACTACATACTTGTGCTTATCAGCACAAGCCCTCAAAGAAAATCTCCAGAGGGGGTCACTTTGAACTTACCGTACACTACTGCACTTCAATTGTTTATCTTCAATAAGAATGATAATGAATCATCAACAACCGCAACGATTGCACCACAACAGAGTACTTAAAATCTAGAAGCGTTATATCTCCACAAACAAGCATGTACAACTCTTAGAAAGGATGGGAAATGAAAGAACAGAAAAAACTGGAACTTGCTGCTAAGCCAGAGGAACAGTAGGAGGCTTTGTTTGCAGCTAAGAGAACAGCATAAAGAGCACACAACACGCTCACAAATACTCAGCCGATGTGCTGCTGAAAGAGACAGCACTGCAGAAGAAGCACACTGCTGTCTTCTGCTAATGCTGAAGTAGGACTTCACTCTGTTGCTGGCATGTCTCAATCTAAACCTCTTCTGTTCATCAACTCACCAAAGGAGGAGGACTGCTCTAAATCCAACTAAACCTTAAAAAGGGGTAAAAAAAAAAATAAAAAATTGTTTATCCTAGTGCTGAGATCACGTCAGAGTAGAGGTGTCCTAATTTCCGTCTATGGTTTATTAATGATAAGGGAGATTCCTAATAATCCATATGAATCATTTAACCAATCTAATGGAAAGAGGCATTTCAAGCTGATACGCTAAAGGAAACAATCATACGTTATGGGAAACATTCAATTATCATTCAACCATGAATAACAAAATATTTATATGTTAGATATATTTATGCCTCATTTTGTCACAGTCAGGCCCTGACCAATATAGGTTGGCCGGTAATATCAGCCGATATTTACAACCTGTGGTTTTATCAGCATCTGTAAAATATTGTTGATAATGTGTTGATAAGTGGCTTTTTCAGCTGTGCCATTGCTGGGACTCCAACCTGCAATCTCCCAGCAACAGGCAAAACCTTACAGTTGTTGGGCAACCCAATATGAGACGATCCTTATTTAACTGTAAAAAAGCAACAGAGGCTTAAGTTGTGAATCTGAACACAAAACACCATCAGCGCAAAAATAACAAAAACACTATTATATAATGTATCCTAATCTTACCTTGAGAACACCATGAGAATGTAAGAATAACACGTCAGAACACTAAACATTCTTTTCAAAGCAGAGAGAACCAATTAAAAATTAGGTTATAAATAGAACCCAAAACCTCAAATGATTTTAGGCCTCCAGTGCAACAATATTTACATTATTTAAGACTGTCAGTTTCTGTTGCTTGAGTTTATTAAGTTAGACAATTGAGAAATGAATCATTTTAGTCAGTAAAGCACTGTTTAACTAAAATTAGAGGAGTATAAAATTAAAATCTAAAATATACATGTAAAATTAAATGGGCCAAAATGATTGGCTACCAGAATTTTTAGACTATAAACAAGTCTATAAACAAATGTCAGGCCCTAATAATGTCTGATATTATTAATACAAATGTCAGGCCCTAATAACATTCCACTCTTTTAAACATTAAGTGTGCTGTGTCCAGCATCATAATGTCAGCATATCTGGAAGTGGCAGATATGCAGAAAGATTCAATATTTTGATGACATCATAACAAATAATTCATAATGCTTGTTCTCCTTTCCTCTTCTTCTCTACAACACTGTGAAGCTAAATATATAAATTGGATGCTGAACCCTGGATGGCAGATCCTGTATCTATTGCGTGCTATAATTAAACTTTGGATTGTTCGGTTCAGCAAGGCAGAGTGAATCCTGTGTTTATCTCTCACAAATCTGTCTGAAAGACACTGCACAACACATTACACCTGTAGTTTCTAGGAAGAAAAAAGAGAGAGAAGAAAAAATTTTGAGATGCCAACAGATTGCAGAGAGAGAGAGACTGAGAGAAAGAGACAAATACGAAATTAAACTGCTTATTCCACAAACCACCAGTAGAGGGTGTATCAGTACACACATTGCACACAGTATGTCTAATGGTAGAAGGAAACGAAGTGGAATTACACCAAATAAAGGAGCACAACTATACTTTTAATGCAAATATTTTCAGCTTTTATCTACTTCATTAAGATAATGATATGAAATACAGAGCAAAGCACAGGAACCACACATGCACAATCCAATCAGTAGGTTTTGCTCTGTATTTTCAGCTAGGAAGGTGTCTAAGTACAGAATATGTGCTTTATTGGTACACCTGCTTGTCCAAGTAATAGAAAGTAACTTGGCAGTAACTTCACCTATCAGTTAAAGGCCAGACCACCACAGTGGAATGTCCTCTCAGCAGAATCCTTAATGTTGAATTAACACCTGCAGTTCCATTTAAGCCAAACTGAACACAAATGAGCATTGGAACAGTTTATTCAAAATTGGAGATTCTGCTGTGCAATTGCACTGACATACGTAATTAATTAACCTAGAAATGAACAGCCTTAAAGTAACTTAAGTACCGAAAGACAGAATTTAGAACGCTGAACCTCCAAATAGGTGCAGAACTTTAAGGAAAATCCCACCCTTTTCACTTCTGGTCCCTTAATAGCACTTTCCTGGATGCTTGTCTGCATTGCTGAGCTTATTTTGGGTCAATTATATGCATTTGTTTTAGTATTCTCATACAAATGTACATTTTTTTAAATCAGCTAAACTACTGCAAACTGGAAAAGGTTTCAAGAAAAGCACTTAGAATTCCATTATTAAAAAATAGTGTAGTCATGGAGGGTACATCTTGCTTTCCCCACATACGTCCTGCTCTTGTACCATTTTTCACAAAGAAATGTTCAAGAAATGCACCTAAAACCTATCTGAGATGTCTAGAAGTGTTGTAAGTGTTATAAAGAGGCAAGAAGTCAAACAGGTGGGATTCACCTCATGTAGATGTGTGTGTAAGGGTGTGTCTGTCTTACCATTCTGAAGTTTCTCTCTGCCTCCTGAGAGAACACCGCTGGGAAGCATGCCAGTGGGGGTGAGACCCTTCAGTGTCAGCACACTCTCACTCTCCTCTCTAAAACACACACAAAGTTACACTCACAAACATGCATATTCACATGAAAGCACATATGCTGTACTGTGAAAAGGTTTTAGACACCTAATCAAGTTGTTTAAAACCATTCATCTCAGCATTGAATGTATTTTTGTCAGTAAAAACTCTATACAACATTAAAAAATGCAAACAAACATGAATCCAGTGAAAAATGTTCCTTGATTTAAAAAAAGTAGTTGATATTTTATAGGTAATCTTATAAGAACACATGTTTGGTTCCAGATTTCTCACTGATGGCATTATTTTGTTTAAATCTATCAGCAGCACATCTGATTTAGTAAATGAAGTACTGATCATGTATTGTTACTACAAATAACAAATGGTTAAACATATTAACATACATAAAAATCAGTACTTAATGTTGTTTGTATCTATTCTAAAATATGTGTTTTTCCTGAGAAAATAAATTGTTATTTCTCAGACTAACATTTTTTTATACAATTGTAAGTGCCTAACACATTTGGACAGTACTATATATATGGGCTGTCAAAAAAACTAAAATAATTAACAATGACCACAGAGAAAGATTTTTTTCCATTTAGAAAGCAGTGAATTTTGTTATAGCTATGTGAGTGGACAGAATAGCACACATGATATCCATAGAGTGAACACAATTTTCAGATTTTCATCACTGATGTTCAGTGAGAGCAACACAGGATGCATGTTCCAAGCAATGAATCCATATGTATATCATAGACACAGAGCAGCCACTTTATTGAGTACACCTCCTTGTATCTACACTCCTAGCCCAATTTATCAGCTCTGCTTACCATATAGGTTCACTTTATAGTTCTACAATTACATACTGTAGCCCATCTGTGGCTCTGCATACTTCATTAATGGTCAGGATCCCTACACAATGACCACAGAGCAGGTAACGCAGCAGATTTTTTGTCCAATGTGTACGTGTACGTTATATTTTTCTAAGCCTAACAATAAACCTAACATTAACTAAATTAACCAAATTAAATGGAACCTTGTAGGTGACCTGTTTTCTCTGTTATTCTGACATTGTCTTACATTTCTGCCATGACAATGTAAGAACACTCACAAATGCACAATAACCTTCTCTTACCGTAGCACGGAGAACACTCTGGCCATCTTTCCAATGGCACGAATCTTATTCCGGATCACTTCTTTGCGTGCAGAGGCTGTGGCACCTACACAAAGAAACACACACAGGGTCACTATAAGGTTGCAGCAATCCACAGCACACCCCCATTTGGCCAAATTCTTTCCATTTTTTGCAAAAACCGTCTTCAGGTACAACTGAACAGATTTGAATATTTCAACAGCAACCATTTCAAATATTTAACATGCTGAGTTCCAGCTTAATGCCCAAAAAGACAAACAACTGCATTAACTGAACGCTGCCTCAGAGTACAATTACCCAAACCCATCAAAAACAGAGGAAGCTTACTTCAATGGAATGGAGTCTAATTTGCTGTCTCAGCAAAGTCAGATCAATAAAGTCATTCCCTGCAGCAGCCTACGCCTCCAGACCTCAGAAGTGAAACGCATGCTAAGCATTCAGTTAGCCTGCCATTGATTCCTGCAGCCAGGGTTACACTGAGGCTAATCAGTACCGTGCGCCATATGCTCTCAAATTAATAACACTGTTTGCTTTAATCAAGGCACTAGCTTAAAGGAGACTATGGAAAAATGTGTTACTCTGAAAAACTTTGCACATTTATCTGTTTTATGAACACAGTAAAGACTCAAAGACCTGTTGAATGAGACACGGACGAGTATATACATGCCATACTGGAATATGCTTGAACTTTCAGTGGCTCGTTCATAAAAACGTGACTGAAGTTAGTAATAAGACTGATAGAAGTCTGAAAATGTTTCAGGAGAGATCAGAGGAGATGATACAATGAAAATGAAAATGGATTTGGAAGAAATGAACTGAAGGCACTTTAGGCATGCGTAGGAATAAAAAATGTACAGGATATAAAATGTATAGTATATTAGGACAGTGGAATAACTTAAAATGTCATATTTTGACAATTATCCTATAGTACTTTATCTTAATGTACAGCACTGTGCAAAAGTCAGAGACTACCCTTCATTAATTTAATTTCCTGTCAAAATGGCCATTGAGTACAAGTTGTTCATTTATTAGTGTCAGGAGACAAACAGAAACCGTATATAAATATAATTTCAAGTTCTTCGGTATGTAGTGCACCCTTTGCTTTTATTACAGCTTCAATTCCTTTTGGGACACTTGCTTTTAGTTTTACAAAGAAATCTGCAGAGGCATTTTTCCACACCTCCACAGTTCAGTCTTGAACTGGTTGCATTTTCTGTTTTTCACGATCCAAGAAATCCCAAACAAATTCGGTGATGTTAATGTTTAATAATTTTTTTTAACTTCCGGTTTCAGAAACTCCTGTTTTTCATGTATTTTCATGTATTTTCCTGACTTTCCTGTTGCTTATGCAGGTGGATTAGCATGTCTCTAATCTCCTCAGAAATTTCTACTTTAGCCATTTAACATCAGTGAGATTTTTGGGAGCAACTTTTGTTGGGAGGGCGCAGCTGTAACTGTAGCAGCTGTAATGCTGTATTATGATAGGATGGATGGATGGATGGATGGATGAGTTAAAGTGACTATAGGGTGCACGAAAGTAAAAAGTGGACAAATTAAATAATGATCCAAATAATCAATGTGATATTATATTACATGATAATATACCTAGATATCATACCTAGTGTTGGAGGCTACATTATATGTTTCCTGACACTGAAAAATTAATAACTTGAACTTAATGGCAGTGTTGGCAGGAAATTCAATACACAAAAGGGTGGTGTCTGACTTTTGCAGTACTGTATATACAATAACAGTACAATAAATGGAACATCATTATCTGTCTAAACACACTTATATTTACTAATTGTCCTGACAATCAGAGCAGGCACTCCAAACACAAACATCTCTACCTTTAGATGATCTCATATTGCTAGTAAGCAACTCTAGATAAACAAAAAGGCAGCAATGTTAGTATGAATGCCTATAGGAATAGTGCTTAATCCTGTTGTTACACAAACCGTTAGAAAAAGGTACAAACAAGTAGCAAGCCTGCACTGTGCACACAGCAGGGCATGTGGGCGGCTGTACCTTTCTTGGGGGGATATATTAGCTGTCCTTCTCAAGAACACCCCCAGAAGAGAACAGAAAAAGAACAGAAGAGTGATCAATGGATGGCTGAGGAAGGAGAGAGGGAGACAGAGATGGAGAAAGACTGAATGTGAGGGAGAAAAACAGAAAGAGAAACAGAAAAACAGCGCATGAGAGGGTGAGAGAGAGAGAAGGGGTAGAAAGAAAGAGGGAAACCATGAGACAGAAAAAGAGAGACAAAAGAGACAAAAAGATTAAGGAGAAAGAGAAAAAGAGAGAGAGAAAGAGACTGAGAGGAGGAGAATGAGAGAGCGAGAGATAGCCACACCCATGGAACAAAAAGAAAGGAAATGCCTGACAGAACAACTGTGGAAAAAAGAAAAGAAATTGATTAGATAAAGCAAAAGGAAGTGAAGTAACCTACGAAAGAGAATGTGCAAAGTGGAAAGTAAGTGAGAGAGGGAGAAAGAAAGAGTGAGAGGAACAAATAGAGTGAAGTAAAAAGGAGAAAACAAAATACTGTAAAAAGAAATTTAAATCCAGAATAATGGCTATTAAAGCAGTTCTGTCAGAGAAGAAAAGTGAAGCAGTGTTAAAGGACAGTGGACTCATTAGAGCTCAGCCTGCTAGCACAGACACTATGAGGTTTCTTCAGCATCAACACTGAATAAAATCAACTTGAAGTTCATGTCTGCTGTGCACCAAACTCTGAAGCCCTGCATATTCCTCTGCTTTTGTTAAATATTCTCTCACTGGATTTCCTCTCGGTTTTCCTGTTTCAACATGAAATGTAATACAAGTGAAAGTCTGCTGATACAGAGGTTATGAAAAGAACATGAGAAAACTACACATCCCATTGTGCAGAATCGGTGCATCTGTATGTCATTTCCTGTTACTGTACATTTGACAGTCAAATGCTGGTGTCCTTGGTGGACCTTTCAGTAAAAGTCCACAATAGTGGACAATATATAAAATGAACATTGGTTGTGCAGGAACGTATCAGTACTGCTTGTAACAACTCACACCGCTTGGGTTAAACTGCAAAAAATAAGCTGTATAAGAATTTCCATCAAGCAGCCAGAAATGCCTTGATGTCGTTATCTACAAAGTTTCGTCGAATTCTAAAGGAGCATCTCAGACAAATAAACCTCTGCTTTATCAAGCTGACTAATCGGAACATCTTAATGATGCTGCATACTTTCATATATTTGCAGCAGGCTTTAGGCCCACATTCAGAATGTCAGGCTTTAAGAAATCAGCCCAAATGGGTTCTACTGCTGTGCTTCCAGAGCTTGATTTGTAAACGATGAGGTCCTGGAACACTGAATAAGATGGAAAAACTGTTAAAAAAAAAAAAAAGATTTTGTGACTAAAGAACTAGTAAATAATTCGATGTTGCAGTCCAGGTGAGTTTGCTTAGCATTACTATTACATTAGTATTACGAGGTGACACAGCATGCTACTTTTTAGTTAACTTCTCTACATTTTATTATGTCATATATGCAGTGGGGTCTAAAAGTCTGAGACCCCGAGTGAAAATGCTTCTATTTTGCACTCTTTTAATATAAACATTTTCATTACACATTCAGCATAACAGTTTGAATGAAAAAGTAGAATCTTGGAAAATTCAACATGAATTTCTCCTTCATAAGAAACTTCATAAGTGCTTCTGAGAGTTATCTAAACATGTGTTTCAACAGAAAAGATAAGACTAAGAAAAACATGACCTTTTTGTACAAAGGTCTTAACATGGTTAGTGTCAAAGATTTGCTTAAATTTGAGAAGTGACCCAGAAATAGTGCAGAATCTTAAATATTTCTTCATTTTTTTGTCATAGCTTTTCTCTGTTTTTTTTTTATTATTATTCTAACATGTTCTGTTGTCTAAGCTTAATTTAAAAAAAAAAATCTAAATTTCCAATGTGGTCTCAGACTTCTGGACCCTACTGTATATACTGAGCTGTTCATAGAAAATATGACTTGATACACGTCTCTACAAATCATCATGTGAATGTGTTTAATAGGTGAACAAGATGCCATCTCCACTAAAACAGGTGCTGAATCCTGATCTGGCTTGTTGCAGCACAAATCACGTCCTGGTGTTTCCTTAACTCACTCATAGGTCTAAATTTTACGCTGAAACATTTATAGTAAAGATTTACAACTTATCTACTAAAAACTCATTAGTAAGAATTCTTTGCACATATTTTTTACTCTGAGCCACTTTTTCCTTCAAATGAACTCAAAGTAGCTTAATTACCAATTTCAGTTGAGAAGAAGTTGCCAAACGCTTTGTATGTTGATAAAATGTTTTTTCATGATCATAATAAGGGCTTAGTGAAAGGAATACAATGACCAACAATGATTCTGCTGCTAATAATGAAAAAAAACTACTAACTCCTGATTAGCATTATGCCAATAAATCATGCTAACTGGTGGCTATTTTGTTTTGTTTACTGGCCCATAAGCATTATCAAGCATTTCAAAGTAACAACACTGACCTAAGATTAGGTTTCATCAGTTCATGTAATTATATTACATGAGTGTTATATAAAAGCTGTAAACTGACCCTAGATCACCATTCTGAGTGTGAGGAGTTTGATAAATATGGGCCACTGTTAGCACTTCTAGTCAAAGTATCCCTTGAACATGTTATACAAGGTGTGGTGTTAAGCTTGAACAGAAGTTATTAACTGTTGTTGAGATGAAACTCCCTGAGTTTGAGTCTAATTCTGAGGAGTTGTGTTAAGAGATGTGGGAGTGGTTGTGAACATCCCAAACTGCTCAAGCTTGATCAGTAATAACTGTAGGGGCTGCATTTATTAAGAATACGGTTAAATTTGAATATTCTTGCATGAACGTGGAGAAACTGGACACCAAGGTCCTATTATGTGTGTGCATGTTTGTCCATTCATTGCCTTACCATCGATCTCCTCATCTGTGGTCAGCTCATCATTGGAGCAGATGCTCAGTACGTTTACCAACATCTCAGTGACTGAAGACAAGAAGACAGAGAAAGAGAACACACTGTATGTAGCTGTTTTTAAACGGTTTACAATACAGTATACTAGAGATGGCATCAGTCTGATACTACATAGAATGCAAAGAACTGCCAAGAATTCTGGATTGGATTTTGGAGAGCGAAAAAAAAAAATAAATCTGATCCAATCCTGTGATATATGTTGAAATATGTATCGGTATTGAAAAAGAAAAAGTGGTATCGTGCCATCTCTACAGTTTACTACACAACACTACAAAAACGAAACCTTAATATTAGGGATGCACAATCGTTTCTTGATCATTCTCAGGATGCTGACTTTTGCAACACCAGGGGGAGGCTGGAATATGCAAATATATTATGTCCTCTAACCAATCAGTGTTTACTTACTCTGTAATGTGGACCTATTGACCAGTCACAGTTTCAGATCAGTGTTTCGGAGGATGCCCATTATTTGACCAAAATAAAGCATGACGATCTTGAACCATGTCACATTACAATTCATTGTGCCTTTAATACACTGTATGGCATATCACAATCACAATATTCAAGAATGTAATTGCGATGTATCACACTGTGTAGCCCTACCCTAAATGAATGAATGCACATGTAGTGGACTAACCTTTCTCTCCAACAAAAGGCAAAGACCAGGTGAAGACATCCATGAAGTTGGGAAGCCAGTAGGGATGAGGGGAACAGTTAAACTGCCGAATGTTCATGACGTTATTCTCGTATTTCAGCACAGCAGCTATGTGCAGAAACAGGAAAAGAACAAAAAAACTCACATACGTTCAAATTGTGCCTTAATATTAGGTACCTCCATGCTCTACATCTCCCTCTCACTTCCACACCTACGTTTGCATCATTGATCAGTGTTGTGTTGGCACTTTGTGGAGCAGTTGCTTGAAAACCATGCCTCCTCTCCTTTCTCGACACACATCCTTCTGTTCTCTCAGAGGCTGAAAGCTTAAGTAATTCCTCAGAGGCATACCCGCCAAGCCTCTGACCAAACAGTTCTGCTTTGAGAAATGAGGCCTTTAAAGGGTATTTTTCAAATTTTCAGAAACATTCAATCATTGAGATGTAAACAAAGTCATTCAGAGTGTTCTGATCAGAGAATCCTGCCAGCTCAAATTTTCTTTACAGTGGTGGTGATGGGAACCAGTGATTGCAATGTCTACCACACAAATATAGTCATTTTATTTACAATCCAAAATGACCAGTGAACCTATATGTAATATTAATAATGGTAAAATAGTAGTAATAGTTGTAGTAGCAGTAGTAATTTGGAAAAAAAAATATTTGTTAGGGGGACTATTCTGCCTTACTCCACCATGAATAAATGTAAAAAAATTAAAAATAAAAATACATTTTAGGACAACATCATATCTCAACTGTATTGTTAAACAATGTCTCAGATAGCAGACATCAGTTAAATATCTGTAACCACTTCATGTAATAACAATCTGTGATGCAAATTTTAGAAGCATTAAATGCACTGAACATCTGGTTGTGAACAATTCTGGCGCATTTCACATCAAACCACTCTGAATGATTTTTTTTACATCCAAATGGTTTAATTATTAATGAAATTTTGAAAAAATGCTGGGGGTTCCCCTTTAAGTGACTTTAAACCTGTCTTATCTAACATCCTGCTAGAAGCACATTCCCAGACACTGGCTTTGTCCTTTTTAACTTGTTAAAATCTGCCCCCAGAGTAGCTGGGACGTGTGCAAGTCCACACTGGCCATAGTAAAATGCACCATCATGTGGTACTGGAGCTTTCTGTGTGATGAAGTGTTTTCTATCACTATGTGAAAGAAGTACAGGGCAGCTTTTAATGCTGCACTGTGATTGTTTCTGAGTGTGCGTGTGTACACATTCAGAAAAGAATTCACATCGCTAAGGGCTTATTACTGATTTGTTTTATTAGAGCAACAATAAAAAGCACCTGAAGTGTTAAGTATATTCTTATTTATATGTTTTCTTGTTCAACAGCATTGGGAAATCACATTATTAAAAGACAAGAGCAGCTTACAAAACACAAACAGATGCTTTTTTGCCTCAGCATTAAACGGTTAAGCATACAAATCATTTCTTGAAATCTTATCTGTATGATTCAAGGTTACTCTTGACCTGCGGCTATTGAGATTGGAGTAGCGACGGCGACTCCTCCTTGTGTGCCCCAGATACTGAAAGCCGACACCGTGCTCTCCAGCTTGCCGGGAGGGACTTTCCCCTGTCCTGCAGTCTCATTCTCGAGTGAGAATAGCAGGTTGTCATGTGGTGGGGAGAGCAGGCCAGCTGTCAACTGCAAGCCAGATGGAAAGACCCAAGGGCATGTCTCCACTTAACGTCAAACTTCGCTTGGGAAATACGCAAAATATGCTACAAATGGTACAACATCTAAATAATAAAGTCATATACGATTTATAAACAGTTATAACTAGAGAGTCGACATTACCATAAACCCATTTATGTCCCATATTAAGGAAAAGTAGTTGTAGAGGTGAAAAATGCAGTTCCAAACACATCCACAAGGTGGCTCCTGAGCCCACTTTAAACAGCTTCAATTAAAAAAATAATCGCATCAAGTATGTAAAGTTTACATACATATTACTACATTCATTTTAAAGTAGACTGAAAATATCATCCCTGTTAATTTTTAAACTCATTATAATCAAGATTAAAAAAAAAATTATATTGACATGAAGAACTAATAATAAAGTTATCTAATTTGTTCCAGGATGGGGGAGTAGATTAGTAGAAATATAAGACAGACAGAGTCATGTGTTCATGAAGATTTCTTGGTGTCACCACTCCCTCATTCCAGAGCAAAGAGTCAACATAACTGACCTGACCATGCCAAAACCTTTGACCCAAGGCTACTAGTCTGTACAGGAAATCCATGATGACCTCACGACCCACCAGCAGGTAAAGATCCCGCTTCCCTATCCCCGCATATTGTTCATGCTGAAACGTGTGGCATGTTGAAGAAAGCAGTGAACCAGACGTGCGCCGCCCACATATACACTGTTTTATATCACAGTTGGACTAGCTTTACAAAACGGTGGCATAAATCTCATTTAAGCTAACGGAAAACTACAGTGATCTCTGTTTACAATCATAATGTTTCAAGTTTAATGTGTTATGCTACTGACTATGCTGTTAGCTAATCAAGACTACACAGGCTGAAAATAACAATGATGAATTTGCCATCATGGTAGCATTACCTCGACATAAAAACCTAACAACAAAAATATTTTAAGAAAAAAATCTATATGCGATTTAGTTGAACAATATGGTTTTCCACATAAATACAAAATAACATTCTGTACATATAATGAAATGAATAATTTAGCTATATATAAATTTATATATTTGCATTTATTTTACTGCAAAAACTGAGTTTCGCATTAGGTTGAATGAGATTTCTGCCAGTGTTCTCTAAAGTAGAGCTGACAATATTTTACTGTTAATGTGATAAATAATAATGTGGACATCATCGGTTTTTAAGGAACACTGACTAACTGCATGCTTCATTACAAGGACAGCCTAATTAGATTTAGTGCAGTGCAGTATGTGAAATGTTCATAAAAACATATAAAATATGTATCTTGTATCGTAAATGTATCATAAAAATAACTAAGTATCGTGATATGCCATTTTTGCCATATCACTCCCTCCTACTCTAAAATGTGTCTAACTTTGCAACAGCTGCTATGAAAGAATGAATTTGTGGGCGGAGCACAAGTAGGTCAACTGTGAAACATTTTGGCGACTCTGGCATAAGCACAATATTTTTCTTTAGTCTCCAAATGGATTCTTAAGAGTACAATGACCCACTGCTCATCTAATCAACATCTAATGCCGTACTTCTGCTGCCAGAGCCCAAAACTGATCCTGGACCAGCATCTGAGTCATCTCTTATCTGGAATCCCCTACTGTTGTGCTATTGACAGATGGAGGAACCCTCCGTGCTTTAATCAATGCTTGGAATGAGCTCAGCATGCTGGCAGGGATGGCGGCCATTACCCCTGCTGATTCCTGCTACACTCCTCCACTCAGAGACCAAAACACTGGTTAGTTGTTCATTAGTTACGACAAGGCAACCCAGCAGAACCGCTTATTTACGATTCCATTTATCTGTTCTCCATCACAGGACTGCCCATGCTTTGGCAGGCGGGTTGCCTTATTGACTCATTTTGCACGGGCAGAGCTGCGGCATGCGGGGTCAGAGACTGACGGACAGCTGGAGGGCTCAATCTGGCAAACCCTGGAGAGTGACGGATAGGGACGTCCCGCCCTCGCCGCTGGATTTACAGCAGCGGTCGATCGGCCATCAATCTTGACACACACCACGGCCCGACTTCATTGGGATCGATCCCCCATTATCCTCCCCCCACCACCACCACTACCCTATGTCTGATTCATTCAGCCTTAAACAAATGCATTCAAGCTGTGCTCATACAACTGTAGCAATGCAGACAAGGTGCAGCGCTGGTCATAGCTGTTTTAATGGCAGCTTATTATATAAAAGAGAAAACAGGGTTGTTGGTCAAGAACGAACCCTGCATCAAACAAGAAAAGAAAAATCGTTGTGCCAACGCACACAACAGCATGAGCGCAATAGTATGGTGTAAAGAGAAATGCTGCACAGCATGTTAGCATAAACAGACCGAAACAAAACTAATACAATGATTAAAACACACTGCTAATACTGCAGCTATGCTGCAATCACAAAGACGTTAATGTATTCCTATCCATCCACCAAAGCTGGGGGTAGTAACTGCTTTCTTCTCCAGCTGTAATGCTAGGCAAAGCTATTTTAAGCTCATTACCTTCGCCTTAGCAAAGCTTGGATCAGATATTAAAGCTGGAGAAAGATTAGTGAGCAGCAAAGCAAAAACAACTAAAGAAGCTAAGAATAACTGAGCGTGTCAAAACAAATGCAAGCTCTTCTTTGAGAGGTGGCCATCTCTGAAAGGCATATTCTGAGCTCCTGCTAGCACTGCTAGCTTACCTTTAAGTTTTTTTCTTCTCTGGATTTTGATAGACAGTCTTTATATCATTTCATAAATAGTCCTCAAAAATGTAGATGTTAAAGGTTAGCACTGCCTTCTGTCATGACTTACGGCTTAGAGTTTTAAAACATTTTGAACATGACCCACGTAATAAGAACACAATCATAAATAGCCCATATACACACATATAGTACAGCGCAAAGATCAGAGGCCATCTAATTCATAGTCAAAATGATCAGTTATTCATTTTTCAAGAGATATATCTAATCTGTATCTAATAAAAAAAAGAAGTAAGTCCCCCATGTACGAGCAAGAGGAAAGTCAAAAGGAAAACAGGTGGAAAAACAGGAGTTTCCAAAATGGAGTCTAGAGGAAATGGGACTCCTAACCACCGTACAAGACCTGGCAGACCACCGAAACGGTCACATTCAGATAAATGGCTCTTAAAGCTTTCATCTTTGAGAGATGATAGGTGAAAATCAAGCTCCACTCTTGCTTCAGATCTGAAAAAAATCCACAGGTGCTTCTGTCCATCCTACTGTGAAAAGACAACTCAGCACTATGAATCTGAAAGGATGTGGAGCTGTCAAGAAGCCATTACTGAGAAAAGAAAATAGACAAAAAAGGAAGGAAAGTTTGCAGATCAATCAAAAAAGCTGCTGGTGTTCTCAGAACAATGGGCTGACCACCCCAGAGACCAGCACTCAGCATCACTGAATGCGTTTGGGATTATTTGGATTGTGAGAAGCAAAAAATACAACCAAATTCTAAGACTGAACTTTGGTGGTGTGGAAAAACATCTCTGCAGATTTCTTTGAAAAACTGAAAGACGGTCAGTCAAACAAAGAATGGAAGCTGTAATAAAGGTAAAGTGATGCTTAGCTTTGGAGGCTTCTGTGCAATGTTTGGTCAAATATGTTTTATGCTTTTTACATGATGCTGAAAAATGAACTACTTAATGGCTGTTTCGCTGGAAATAAAACAAATGTAAAGTGGTCTCTGACTTTTGCACAGTACTGTATGTGGTTGAAGACCTAAACAGTATCAGCCACTCAAACATTAGTATGCTCACAATGTTGAGCAGTTTGTTTGACAACAGACACTGAACACAATCACATTAATGGGTCTGCGTATGTGTGTGTGTATGTGTATGTGTGTGCAAGCAATGGCTGATCCATCTTCACTTTTTCATTACAGAGAGGAAGAGAGAAAGTGCAGCATGGGTAAAATGACCAAACATCCACTCACCCACTCCCTCTTTCTCTCTCTGAAAATGCTGACTAACTGAGCATGGGTCTGTCTCTCTATTGCAGCTCAGCAGGACCACCGCATGCCAACCATGGACTACTGCCAGTACACACATACACACGCACACACACACAGAGCCAACAGGCTGTTACCTTTATTATTGTAGACATCTAAGTAGTTGGGGGCTGAGAAGATAGTGATGAGAGAGGGGAAGCCTGTGGTCTGGCTCTTTCTGTACATGCGATACCTGAGGAAGACAAAAGCTTCACGGTCACTCGTTACCCTCCTTACCGAATCCACAATCATCTACATCACAGCCACACTGGGCCATTTATCCTGTCCTTGTCTCAGTTCTGCACAATAATCTACTCTACATTCCTAACAGGTCCTGCTGCCTTTGCTCTGTGGGGTTTTCACTTAGTGCTCCACTCCTCACTGCCATAATCTATCAGACTATGAGGCTGGGGGTGGGGGGGGTCCAAACTACTCAAACAATGACTCAGCAATAATCAATAAAACTCTTGCTGTGCACAGGGCTCCAATTAACTGACTAAGCAAGAGCAGGGTAATTCCATTTAAAGCTGGAGTGTGCGTAAGCAAAAGCTTTAAACACAAACTCTACTCTTCATATAAAAATCTAATAGGATTATACATTTGCTATAGGTGCTTCTATTGAGGGGGTTAACTTGAATTAACAAGCACATCAGCAACTGAACAACATATACTATATATATATATACTAGCATACCAGTATTGGCTCTAGAAATACTCTTAGGTAACAAAAACTTAACTGCAAAGTACGTCATTTGCTGAGGTGCCTCAAATAGTTTTAAAATGACATTTAAAACACAATTCTAAACAAATACTAGGTTTTCTGTACAGTTACCATTTAAAATAGTCCTTTAGTGCAATTTCAAGGGAGGAAAACAGAAGAAAACAGTCCATTTAAAATAATCTCTATCAGATTTTCTTTTAGCATAGAGAACCAGTACTCAGAAAGCATGGGATCATTAAATATATTTATTTAAACTTAATAATACACTTATTCAGAAAATATTATCACATTTAATTTCATCAGTACTGCCCAACACTTACAATACCCTTACTACTACTACTACTACTACTACTACTACGGATAATCTTATCCATATTCCAGTACTACACACAGGACAGAAACACTTCAGCAACAACATGAAGAAACAGTTATTTGCATTCATTGCAATTCATGATACATTTCTGACATTCTGTAGATAGGCTCTCTTTGGAAGGTCAGAAATGCGTGAGATGAAGCACTTACCCAGCGTCCTGTGCTTCGTGGGCCCGGATGATGGATAATAAGTTATTGTGTTGTAGGAAGTCACACACGGCGGGATAACTACAGAAGAAAAAGCACAATATTTGATTTGTTTAACTGATTAAGTCATTTTAAAGAAGATAAATAGAGAAGATCAATGTCATTAGCAATACACTTTTTTTAATTTGACACCAATACAGATATCTGAACTACTAATTCCTACACAACACTTTTTTCAGTACTTTCTTTTAAATTACAAACCAATTAATGGGTGTGGCTTAAATCAGAAATGAAGGGGGTATATTTACTGACCACAGCAGACAGTCAAGAAACACTGACATCTGTGACATGCATAAGAGCATAATGTAGGCAGCCAAACAGCTAGATTTTAGAAGAAACACACTTATTGACTCACTAATGCTCATACAACTGACTACTTCAGTACTGAATTTTGATCCCCAGCCCTAGTCATTAGTATCCAGTTTTGTAAGAGGTAGGATAAAATCTGGTTTAACTGTATGAACCCGACTAGCCTGATACTGGGCCCAAAAACAAAGAGAACTTCTTGTTTAAATGTGCTGCTGTCCCTGTTCGCAACAGGAAAATCTTTTTATTAAGCGTGAAGAACCGGAGCTTTCTGTTTTCACTATATAAAATATACACAAAGTTTACATTATTGTTGAGTGGGAGCATGGGAGCTCATTCGGAGCACAGCTCGAATCTGTATGCATTTATTACTGATTGGTTTAATCGAACTATCGATAACACATGACTAATGTATGACTTCCTATTAATGTATTTTTTAGTTTAAAATTGCACATTTGTTTAAAATTCAGGATTTTTGACTGTGTTAGATCAAGCTCCTTATATATTAAATAAATACAGCAACAGCATCTGAAATTGCATTAATGAAAATGAGTAGATCACACGGCAGAAACAGCCATGGTTTTGCATCAACATTAAAGGGTTAAATGGTTAAAAAATGTAAAAACACACTACACATTAAAAGTCCATCACAGTAACCTTCAAGGAAGGAAATTTCACATTAAAACAGTATGTTACTGTATGTGTGTGTGTGTGTGTTTTTGAGAGCGAGGGGGAAACCTCAACACTCATGTGATCAGCGAAGGAGAGTAGAGGCCAAAGCAAACGTTGTCAGCCATCCTGAAAGGCTAGAAGTGAGTTTCTGGACTTTTCCATGCCACAACCCTCCAATAACTAGAAGGGAGCATGCTGGAACTTTCCCATGTTTACAACTGGCTTCGGTGACGAGTCTACTCCACGGCTGCCTCCAACCACTGAATAAGCTGTCAAAACTAAAACAACTTCTTATACAAGCACCAACAGAGGTATGTGCCTGCACAAATACACCAGAAGAGCGATCACTGAAGGAATGACTTACTCCCCTGGCTTTGAAAGGCACATGCTGGAAGCCAAGCAAATAGTTCTATATTCTCTGAAGAAGGTTTAGAAAGATCAAAATCCATCACAGAATATTGGCTATATAATTGGAAATACAACTACCGAATGGCAGAATTCTCAGCTGCATTTGTTTTAGTCAATTTAAAAAAAAGTGTTTTGGGTAGAAGATCACACAGCTCTGTGCTAAAGATTGTTGATCCGATGATTGTTGGTCAGCACCCGTGATAAGCATAGTGTCTCCTCACATTCAACTAACCACATGTTAGCAGCAATGGAAACAGTTAAGTTCCAGAGCAGCACACATCTATGTCCGCTAATATGGGTTCATTTAGTCTAATTTGGAATTTCATTAGCTGAGTGAAAAAAACAACCCAAAAAGAAATGCAAAATAACCCGAGGCTTAGATCATCTTTCAGCAGATGCTCAACTGAACGTCCATATGGTCTGTAGCTGAACAGAGTTAGCTGAAATGCAGGATAAGAACAGTTCAAAAAAGAGGGCAAAGGTGAAAAGCACTTTTCTTGAGATGCCATACTTCATGTCTTTGGTCAGTTCGCAAAAAAAGATGCATTTTTTTTTGTGCAACCTGTCATACAGTCTACTAAAGGCATTTCTGTGGCTAAACATCTACATAAATGTTTCACTTCCTACAGGCTAAATACTAACAAACTCCTCAAACTTAAGCATTCACTCATCACAGGGCTGGCGGTCAGTTCTGAAAACATGTTGGGTGCAAATTTGAATCGTGTGCAATTACACGGCTGGCTACATGTGTAAAAGAGTTACAAGGGCTCTTGGTGGGATGAGACAGGATGTTTTTTTACTGACAGTTTGGGGAAGAGGCAGGGCTGGTCTGCTCTTTGGTGTCTGCTGCTCAGGGGCAGGCTCGTAAAGCCAGCTAGGCAGTATGCTTCCAATTACACCCTACTGACTGAGAGACAGACAGCGATAGAGGCAGTTACTGATGCAAAAAGAAGCCACTGCCAAGGTCTACTGATATTAAATGCAGTACTTTCCTGGCATCTCGCACCTCTGTTTTAGAGCCTTCAGCTATATTGATGGAAATTGATGGTGCATTCTTCTGCTTTCATACGGATTTATAGCATCTTTAACTTGTAATCTTACTTCGGCATGAGCTTCATGTTAGAGAGTCTTTTAACCCAGGGTTCCACACCATTTTGAGGAATGAAAACCAGAAACGAACAGTATTTTGCTGAGAAGAAATGAAATTTCTGTTACTGGTTAAAAATATAATTTATTTGTTCTGTGTATGTCACAACTTATCAGGAATTTGAACTAGTTTATTATTTATGTCTTACATTCAAACTCGCAAATGTCTTTGGGTCAGCATTTTGGCTTGCATGCTTTCATTCAATGTAAACTGCGCACCATCTTGAGAGAAGACTGGTAGCTATATCTATTTTACAGCATTTTCCAGCCTTTCTGACGGCCATCATGACAGAAGTCAGGAATTAACCAAATTAAAATGAGTATACTATAAACTTTCTCTCAACACAAACCTCATTATGATAAGCATAAGTTAGACAGACTACCAGGTCTGTTGTTTGTTATGAAAACAAAGATAGCCTAATGAGGCTATCAATGCTTTCATAATAACCTCTGGTAATCATTTATTGGCTATTTGACAACTATATTTTGCTACTGATTCACAAACAGTAAAATGCTATAGCCTATCTATGTGCGAACATGTTCTTATCTAAACAAACACAGTTGTTGAGTCTAATGGGTTTAGACTTTAGGTATATTATATGTTATTTAGGTATATTATAAATATGTTATTTATTTATAATATGTGCACATAAAGCTTATGCAAAAGAAACTGAACTAAGAAGTTTTTAACTGTGTGCAAATCGGTTTAGTAACTTTATGTTGAGGTACAAAAATGGAAGTATTAAAATACTGGTTTACAGTGAACAGATTTGTTATTAGATTTCAAGTCCAGCTTTTAACATGTAGGATGATTTGCTCATATTGGTGGAATTCATATTTCCTTCAGTGGAACTGGAGGTGGAGTTTTCTCATTTCATAATGCCTGTCTGATTCTGTTCTTCAGCAGACAGGCATTATGACATTTCCTTTCCAAGTCAAAGCCACAAATCATATATTATGTCACGGTTGCCAGTAAATCATGCCTTACACCACTGGAGGGAAAAATGGACTCACTCCATACATTCATTCTGCTCTGTTTCAAGTATATGCTACAAATAAAATCATGTTATACAGAGATGGGGAGACATTAATGTATTTGTGCTAAGAAAAGTCAATGTCATCAAACCAATAAACAGTATTTTCAAAAACACAATACATATTTTCAGACCTCTAAAGATATCTGAAGATAGTTTGGGGGTTAGTGCTGGGGATGTTCAGATAAAACTACTGTCTTGCATCAGTGCATCTCTATAATTCTGTGGAGAGCAGAGCTGTCATAATTGATTGATTACACTCGATTACTCAATTAAAATAAAATCGATTCAAAACTATCTTCTTGACAAATCATCACTTAATACATGTAAATGTTGCTAAACAGTGTTTTTACAATTTTTTTAATGAAGTCTTTTTAAGGGCCCTCTGGTTTATCTTTATCCAGTAAATTATTTTGTAGTTTTTGAAAGGCTTTGAATGGTTTGTTACTGTTCGGGTAATTTCATATTTTCTGCAAAAACTCTTAATGCTCATCTACTTTTGTAATCAACAGTGACAGCGGTAAAATAGAGTATAGGAATTTGTAAGTCCTGTAAAGTAAAAAATGAGGAAGGGGAATGTGAAAGAGAGCACTGACACTGTTGTTGAGTTTATGTCTCTGTAAGTGTTGTGTTTTTAAGCATATTTTTAGGCACCTGTAGAAGTAGGAGCAACCTCGCACTGTGTTGTGTGTGAAGTGTTCTTGGGTCTTCTCGTTGCCAAAGTCTTCCAGCGGGTCTGACCACAGGAGGTCACACATTGGTCCGTACGCAGGAGGCTCCTTGAATCTGTCTAACTGGAGATGGTAAACACATGCTCAACATATAGGTGCCTTAGATTTGAAGGTAGACAACAATAAAGTCAGTCAAGTTCATCCACTTTGTAGCCCAAATGCTGCAGTGAAACTTTTTCACAGTAAATTTGCACTGTCACAGTCAAAGCAGTCTTCATAAACCCAGTTATTATTAGCTCCACAATGAGTTGTGGATTGTGCAACACAGACACAGTAAACAACAGTATAGACCACATTGCCACATCTGTGATCATTCTATTCACTAGCTGAAAATGACTGAAACACTCTCCCACCCCTTTCTGTAAATTCCATTTCATTATTGCCATCTCCCCATTTGGGTAATGGCCTAGAATTTGAGGCTAGATTCAAAGGAACATAAATAAACCATACATATCATAAAATAACCACGCTTCAATCGATCAAAATCATTCCGTAGACAATGAATATATAGTTATGAGCTTGGTAAAGAACTCATCAATCCTTGTGATCACAGCCTTGATAGCGGTGACATTTTGTCCAAAATGCCTCATCTAATTCTACCTCTAAATGAGTTTGCACTTTCTACTTGGCGGAAATGGAGAACTCCAAACCATTTTGCTGCCTCAAATCTGGCCAAAACCATTTATAAGTGAGGCATATGACAATGGTCTTTACAAATGGTCCATTCAATTAGAGGGGTGGAGAGTATGACTGTAGCATCCGGGAGCCTTTTATTGAAGGTGAGGAAATTGCAGAGGCCCATTCTTAAGTGTTTTAAATCTGGTTATTTGCTCTGTATTTGCACTGGATCTTCTCCACAGACCGAAGAAGAGGGAAAAGCCATCTAGGCTTAATGACAGACTGCTGGTTCAAAGGAAATTGTTGAAGGAAATTGAAAAGTCTCTGTTTCAGTTAGTCTTAAAAAGCATAAATGGAATGGAATAACGAGGGAAGCTTTCTGCATATTCATGAAATGTATCCGGCACAGCAAAAGTACATTAGCATATATGAATATTCACTTCTCATTTTGGGGGGAAAAAATATGTGTTGGGTGTTAGACTACATTATGTATCTATTATCATACTGCCATTTAGGACCTTTGAACCAGGTGTTATTCATTAACACATTTACTGTAATCAACATTAAGTGGTCTGACTATTAAGCTAAATCCCAGGAATGAGCTTAAAAGCTGTTGGGTGGGGCATACATACTTTTCTGATGTCATCAAGGTTTGTGATTTCAGGGGACAGTCCTCCGTGAACGCATAGAAACTGCTGGTTCATGAGTGCGGCCAGGGGGAGGCAGTCAAAGGCGTCCATACATGCATCATACACCCGCTCAGAGTACTTAATTCTACCTGTCAGGGATGGAAAAGAAGGCCAAGTTGAAACAGCAGGGAGGAAAGACACCAGTTAGCCAAAGCAAACATCGAAACGCACTAACACACTGGTCCTATGTGCTAGCCAGAAGCAGCGAGTCTCAAAAGGCTATCCAAACACGTCCAATAAACAGAGAAAGAAACAGTTTGAATCCGACAGGTGATTTTTTGTGACGTTCACCTCAGTCCAAAAGCAATTGGTCTGACAAGTATAAACATCAAAGAGAGCAAGTATAACTTAATGCTGAACAGGAAGCACTTTAAGTTCTCAATGAAGACCTGAAGGAAAGAGGTGGTGGTCTGTGACCAGAATAGCCCTGTTTGTTTTTATTTCTCAATGCCAGTTTACATTGGAAAGTATACCTGTTGAAGTAAAATATAGATGCTGCATTGGCAGGTGTACTTACATTCCTGTTTAAAGGTGAAATACTCTGTTAAATGTCTACATTCGTGGTTCCCGCGCAGCAAAAACAGTGTTTTGGGGTAAAGGATTTTTAAGGCCCATAAGTACAGCACACACTGAAAAAGAGAACAAAAACACAAATTCAGAAATGTGATGTAATTGATGTAAAAGCTTCAAACACACTGAACGTTTCTTTGTTTGCGTAGAAAAGCATCATCAAGAGAAAAGACATTTATACTTTCTATAGCTCCTCCAAAATCATCCAAACATTAAAGCAAATATAAACAAAGCCATGTTGTTCATTTAGCTGATAAATGGCAATCTGCTGATAGAAATCAAAAGCTATAACAACCATGGATGCATATAGTGATTTATGCATTTTTCATAACCTCCTACCAAAAGGTCTCCTCCAAGTACATTTGTTTGTGCACTGTAGCTCATCAACAGAACATGAACTTCGCTTTGCATTAAGTAAAACAGTTCAATTTACTACCAAAACTCCTAGCTTAAGAAAAAAATTAAAAATGTGTTGAACTGTCCTCCATATCATCATTGCTATCTGGGTCAATAGAAATCCTAAAACACATCTGTCACCATGAATTAAGCTACTGTAATTACTGCTAAATAGCTTGTTTCGGCCTTGTTGGAGCATTTGTTGTAAAAAAGGGCATATAAACGTGTAACAGTATTTGTTGAAAATAAAAACTGAAACACGCGGATTAAATAAAGGATATATCTAACTGAATAAAATACAGTTATTGACGTAAGTCTGTTTTCTGTCAGAATTTTCGTCTGTAAGTTACATTACAGGCCGTCGTGGCCATTTTGGGGAACTCAGAGCAGAGGCTGTAAGGGAAGTAAGGGAAATTTTAAATATTTACAATATTATGTAGTAATTTTTTTACTTTTATCAGCAAATCATATACTGGCTGCTAATATATTGTGCATCCCTAATTGTTTTGCATCTTCGGAAAAAACGCCAAACAAACTTACTTCAATACTGAAATATCCTCTGTCCACATAATCGCCCAGGAAAAGGTAGCGTGTGCTGGCTGGTGACCCTCCGACCTCAAACAGCTTCATCAAGTCAAAGAATTGCCCATGGATGTCTCCACAAACTAGAACAAAAAAATGTGCATGAGCTTGTGCAGGAAAGAAACATGCCCAAGAAAATGGAGAATTTCATTACAGACATTTATTAAATTGCAGTTTTTTTCAGTGACATGATCTCATTACAGTCATGTTCAACATGACCATCCTCTTCATCCCCAACAAACTAATCAGTTGAATTAGAAAACAAAGTGCATGCAAACGAGTGACACCTGTAAGTCCCTATTAATACATCTTTCAGAGATACACTGTTCGCCGTTCACAATGGAGCACATTTCCATACAGGGCTGATGTCAGGGCTTTGAAGTGACACAGTTATAGAAAGCTTTCCCTCCATCTTGTTGCCAACCAACAGTGCTTAAGGCTTTTCAAATAAAGTGTGTCACCTGGCCTCTTGTTTAATGAATAATAAATGCATCAGTGCCATGGTTTGAAATGCACCTTTGTACAATAAACAATGCGTACTAGCCCTGAGCTAAGCCTCAATTTCATAGAGCACAGAGCAGAGTGATACAGTTATTGAGATGACCTTGTATAGTAATAGTGTAAAGGGTGTTCAGTTGTTTTGTCATGTAATAAACTGAGAGAACGTGCTGCCTGAAGGGATCCAGGTTTCAGCTCCAGAGCAGTTTTCTAACATCTCTGCTCAAACCACACCATGAGACAACCCGTGCGGACGAAGAAATGTCAACAGTGTGCTGGCTGGTGACCCTCCGACGTCAAACAGCTTTACCCAGTCTGATATTATTGTATAATGGTATGGTGCAAACCAGATATAAATTCAATAATTTCAATACATTTTTCTGTTCTACCTTCTATAAATTCTGTTGTAAGTCTGAAAGAGAAACTGTTGAGTTTAAAAGAAACTGCTGGCTTCCACACCTACCAACTACCCACCAAATTCTGTTGTAAGTCTAAAAGTTTCAAACTATCCTAAAGTGATGTATTTTCTGCTCAAAAGAAGGAAAAAAGCAGAACACATATTAAACAGAATGTTACACAGAAGCCTCAACACCTAAATATCAAATTTGTTAGTATTTAGTCTGCTTTTATTACAGCTTCCATTCTTTTAGGGAGCTTGCGTTCAGTTTCTCAAAGAAAACTGCGGGGATGTTTCCTTTTATTATTATTTTGTGCTTCTCATGATCCAAGTAACCCTAAACACATTCTGTGATGTTGAGGTCTGGACTCTGAGGTGCCCAGTCCATTGTTCTGAGAACAGTTTCAGAACCATAGCATTGAGCTGTCTTTTCACAGTGGAATGATAGACAGAAACACCTGATACCTGAGTAGAGCTTGATTTTCTCCTATCACACAAAGATGAAAGCTTTAAGTACAGTTTCTCTGATAGTGACAGCTTAACGTAACTTTTAATACATTTTTAACTACAGTTTTTTAATTTGACCTTCCTCTTATTCAAATGGATTATCTTATATCTCATCAGAAACATCTAATGATGTATGAATTATTAATTTGTACGTAACTGCCATTTTGCACTGTACGTTTTGAGACAGAAATTTTGGACAAAAAGTCCTGTTTATTAAAACAGTATGGTATATAAAGTCTATATTTCATCCATCATAACCTCACTAAGATGTCTGGACCAACACTGCTTCACTCTGCACCAGGATGGAATCTGAACGGTTGTTGTAAACTGTTGTAAACAGCTGTACACAGGCTTTAAATGATCAGAGTTAAAATGCTTACACATTTTGAAAGCTTTTAACCCTCTGATATGCAAGACTAAACTTCAAAAATGGTTCCTGCAGTGTGAGTTTTTAGAGGTTTTGGCTCAGAACACTGAGAGCCTCGGGAAGTTGTGATTTCAAGGTGCCAGACGGCTGTAATACATTTGTAATCCAAGTACAATATATTATTTTTTGTCATAATTGTAAAGCATCTTGGCATAGCTAGATAAAAATAGTCAAACGCTACAGTTATGACATTACTGGAATGTTCAGCTGCAAAGGTTTCAACGGCTTGTATTTGTGACAGCAAGCGGTAGGGATGACTTTTGAACTGTCACGTATTTGTCATGGTATGCCTGAGAAGGTTAACATCCCTACTGTGAACTACCCAAAGGTACAGTCAAGTCTATTTAAAAAAGAAAAATTATATACTATGCCCCTTTGAATGCCTCTAATGGAAAGGGCGGTTATGGGAGAGAATGTGTAATACAATGACATTTAACACAGGCAGTCAAGTCATACGTAATCACCTTTCTCTACACCTTTCAAAAGGTTAGAATTTCTAGGCAAAGCGACCTTTTGTGTGCACATGTCTCAAAGCAAACTCTACATCCCTATACAAAAACACATTAATGACCTCACTGAATCCAGTAACAAAGAAAATCCTCAGTGAGACCCAAAAAGGATTTGCAAAGTCTGTTGCTAAGCTCTGATGATTTGTCAGCCAGAAATAAAGAAGACCATAATTAGGCTGAAAAACCAGAACAAATAAATCTGAGAAATAGCCAAAACATTAGCCATGCCAAATTCCTCTTAGATCACTGAGAAGCCAGAAGAAAGGCACTGGTGAGCTCAGCAACTGTCATCGTTTACAATGACTATCCCTTCAGCTTACTGAGACTGGAGTGAGCACTATGGCAGTATGTTATCATTATGGTGATACGACAGGTGACTACACTTTTCTGAGTATGCTGTGGGTACTGTCAGCACTTCTACAACACTGAACAACTGCACATAAAAAAAGATCAATTTAGTGCTATTATAAAGAGCCTGTAAACAACAGTGTATAATACCTGCATAGCAATAAGTAACTGACTAGATCAGCCCATTACGCCCTTCTTATTTTTATCAACTGTTTGCGTTTTATCTCCTGGTCCTTTTCAAGTAGTTTATTTTTTGCAAACTACTATCATTTTACTGGTACATTTTAGGAAAGCACTAAAATTTTAACCCCCAAAAATTTTTGGCCAAAAAATGAAAGTGCCATTTTAACCTGAATGCATCAGTACATAACTAGTCTATTCCAAAAACACCAATACGTATGATGCTCTTAAGTCATACTGTTCAGCCTTAATATGAGATGTGAAAAATACATGAACAATGAACAAAACTATCTATAATTTGGTACAATATCACAAAGATATGAATGACAACTAATGTACAAATGATGTTTTTCAGAAGACCAATCTGTAATCTCATGTAAAGATACAGTATTGTGCAAAAGTCACAGTCCACCCCTCCTGTCAAAGTCCTTCCTCTCATAATAGCTATTAAGTACAAGTTATTCAAAGTAGAAAAAAAAAGTAGAAAAAAGTAGAAAACATAAATTTAAACAAAAATTTCACAGAATTCTCAACAACTAAATATTATATTAAGTTTGTCAGGGCCTTTCTTCTGTAGTGTGCCCACCCTTTGCCTTTATTATAGTTTACATTCTTATCTGCAGTAATTTAGAAGTTCAGTGATGTTGAGGACTGGTCAGTCCACTGTTCTGAGAATACCAGCAGCTTCTTCATTTAATTTGCAATTTTTTTTTCTTTTTTTGTCAGTTTCCTTTTCTCAGTGTCATAAGAGCTACATGTTGAGTTGTTTTGTCACAGTGGAAGGATAGACAGAAACACTTGTGGATGTTTTCAGATCTGAAGTACGAGTGGATCTTCTCTCTCACAGATAAAAGCTGTAAATACTATCTGATGGAGACAGTTTTGGTGGTCTACCAGGTATTGCATTCTAGTTTTGAAATCTCCTGTTTTTTCTTTTACTTTAAGACAGTTTCTCTTGAGATTACATATATGAAACGTGGTCTCTGAGTTTTGTACAGACATGTTTAACTATTATAACCATAATTGGAAGACATCGTGTTTATTCCCACTCCAAAACTGCTGAGCCAGTTAACTTGGGTTTAAACATGTTCGAGGCTTAATGTCAACGCATTCCTACATGCTAGTTTCATTTGCAAGCTTGGAAACCGCTGATGGAAAGCACATTCTCTGAAAATGAACGTGCTCTACTTTAAAAGCAAGTGCACACAATAAGACGGCTGACATAACGTTCTTGTAGGTGCACGCTGAGACGCACATTTCCATGGTTACGGTGAATTGCAGGCTCTGTTACAGTATCAATTTGAAATGCAAATGCTATCTGGAAAACAGTCCTTCCGATCCATACAGACTATCAATATTTTTGTCAATGTTTCTGTCAAACGTGTCTGCAACAAATGACACGATCTTGAGTCGCCTTTACGCGACTCTAATCTCACAGCCCCATCTCGGCTGATTTCACTGGTGGTGATGTTTACACCGCTTTGTTTGTCTGTCAATCTGGCAACCACATTAGTCATATCCCCCTTTATTCCTTATTCATGGAATCAGAATGAATTCTATAAAGGCTTCCTCTATTACAGCTAGTGTGCTGTTTGCTCAGGCTTATTAAGTTATGATTCATCCTCAGGGTTTCTTGCATTTAAACTACTTTGTGAAACAGAAGTCTGTTGAAGGCTAAGGCTGGTGTCTTGGCAATTCATTATAGTTATCAGACCATTATACTAAAGCCCAAAGCATTACAGATAAGCAAAATCCTTTTATTTTACATTTTTGTATTTCTTTAGCACCATGAAGGACCCAAAGAATTTTGAAATCAGTCGTTTATCAATTACAATGCTTTTTGTCCACAGGATACCAGTGCAGTTTAGTTTAGTGCTTTCATTGTTCTAACACATTTGAGTCAACACAACAGCTAATTATCATGTCCTTGATCATCAATTAGATCAGGCATGTTAAATGAGGACAAATACCTTACCAAGTTAGTACAACAACCTCAACAAAGGATGCTAAATACTGAAGCTACACAGCAAACACGCTCTGCTCCAGACCACAGTGACCAGTGAGGCTTCCCCACCTCATGTTGCTCTTTGTTTTCAAAAAATATCAATTCTGCAAAAACCAAATTCACTCAAAAATCAATCACACAACTGACAGAGAACATTCTGCACTGTTTTAGCAGATACACTAATTAAGAGCAAATATCCTGAGAAAATGTTC